TAATCTATTCCTTCATTAAGAAAATTTTTTTTAATAACATTTTTAACTTTTGTGGGAAGACAACTCGGTGTGGCTCAAATCGCTCCTCATTTTATAGGAACTATAGTTCCCTCCCCGAGTTTTTTCTATTTGAACCACTGTCTAAAGCAATATTTTTTTTCATTAGAAAAATTAAACTATTTCATTATTTATAATGTAGATTTTGAATTCACTGTTTAAAAATATTTAATGTAAAGTGATTTTTTTTTTAATTTTTATAATAAAATATTGATATATTGATCTTTTACTTTAATAATGTGTCAAGATTCGATATGAAATTCTAAGGAAGCAATCATTGTAAATCTTAAGAGAATATCATTGAAAATACACGTACATTTTTAATTTTTATAAGTTATATTTTTTAAAAATTAACCTTAGGTAGCTGACTATGTTAGTGGTTTTAGTTATCCTATATATAATTTTATATTATATACTTTATCAAATCAGTTTTAAACCCAATTGATATCGAGGAACAGTACCGAATTATCTCCACGTCCTCATCAATTTTTTTCTTATAACAAAAATAAATAAATTAACATATTAACAAATCTGTATTGTAAATGTCACTTTGACATTAAATACTAATTGTGTAAAGTCGTGTTTGTTTCTTAATAATAATATTATAGTTAAAATACTATGTTATTATATGTTATAATTGTTCATTATATAAGTATGTTTTAACTTAAAAATAACCATAAAATATTTGATTTATTATTTGTTAGTATTAATATTAATTTCGTTTTGAATTTGTAAAATAATAAAACATTTGTAGTATACACTGAATGTGTGCATTTAGGGATTAAAAAATACTGATATACTGCCAAGTTTGATTGAGAATTTGCCAGTAATTCTTTTTTCAAATAAACTTCATTTAAATGTGCAGTATTTGAACAAAACGCTCAACTTATCTTATATACGAGATTCCAACCAAAAATTCACAGTAGTAAGTGGGCAAACGTTGTGATTAAAACAAAAAGCGTGAATAGTCTTGTTTGTTGTTAGCTATTTTGTTCTAAACATCCTTAATATTCGAATAATAATAACCAAGAAAATTCTATTCTATTGTTGAAAAACAGAGGAAAAAGTATAAAAAATTGAGAAAAACACATAAAAAGACACGCTTTTGTTTTGAATTCCTGTTGACCCAACGTAGTTAGTTTATCATCTCGGGAAGCGTTTAATTACATCAGATCATCTTAGTGCTAACTTGCAAATGAATTGCTTGGGGAAAAAACTATTCTTGTTTTCTCTTTTTTACCTTTCCCAGAGAGGTTATACGACAAATTAAAATTTATGATTTGGTACTTTACTTCAGTTGTTATTTAACAAAGCGTAATTGCTAAAGTTTATAATTAATCAGTTAAATAATTGAATCAAGGTTAATTTTGAATTATAAATAAATTTATAACGTTTAGGTATCTAATGAATTTTAATGCATAAATTATATTCTAGTAGAAATAAAATCAAATTAATTTTTATAATCACATTTCACGTGATTTTAATTAATGTTCTTGTTTAAATTATTTTCGCAAATTTTAGTTAAGCCATGATTTATAATTTGTTATGATACTTTTATAATAATTGCTTTATTTTTTCAAATGACCAATTCAACAGAATCCAAGAAAATTTATTTTGAGCAAACAAAATAAGGAGGGCAAAAAAAGGTAGAAAAAAATTCATTTTGAATTCTCAACTTTCAAGTATTAAAATGTGAACCTTATGTAGATTAGCATTATTACTGCCAACATGTACAATAGAGGTAGGAGGCATATTTAATTCTGCTCATACCTAAACAAACTTGGTCAATATGTCTGTAACCCTTTGGACCGGTTCCAGAAACATTTCACCGCAATTGCTTATTTAACATATTAAAGAATACAATTATTTTTTTCATAATTAAAACGTATAAATAATAATAATGGCAAATAAACATTGGTATCTGAAGCTAAAAACATAAAGTGAAAGAATGAGTACAAGAAACGATATTTTACGACAAAATACGACGTTAAGTGTTGTAGAAAGAGAATAAGGGGATTATATGGTAAGAAACTCTCTAAATACACCTGGCACAGTTTGGCCATTACTTAAAGCAATTTAATTTATGCAGAACTATAAGAATTTACTTCCACTTAGGAGTTTGGCTGTTAGATAGCAAAGAAATAATGGAAAAAGTAATAAGAGTAAAACATTAAAAAAAACATTGTCCTTTCTATATTAAACGTTTTATATTGTTATATCTTAGCAAAAGTTTAACCAAAATATATGTTGTAAACACTCTTATAAGTATGCATGTAGAACACACATGTTTTATTATTAAAAGGGATGTACAGAGGTTACATGACTCCAATAATTAAAGCATAAGTTATCGTAAAAAATACTTAATTGTTCATAAATATTAAGTAAAAAAAACTCATTTAATATAGTTTAATTCATGAAATTTGTCCAAATTTTGAATTTCATACCGAGATTAACACTTAGATCGCTCCTGACATTATTATAGTTTTTAGAATTTATATAATATTGTTGTCTCAATATTATTAATAAAAAAATCTTTTTTATTTCTTTATTGCTGCCCTAAAACATTATCAAATGAAAATAAACATAACTTTTTAAAGTTTACTATTTAAATGATTCAAGAATTCTCCTTTATTTCGTTAATCAAAATTATTTAAGTGTATTAAATATCGACATGTTAATGTGTACTTGACATAACTTTAATAAAACTACATATTTTATATACAACACGAAGAAAATATTTAATTAAAAAAGTTAAATTAACTGGTTTTAATTATAAACTTTGTTATAAAAACAATCAATAAGACTTTAGAAAAAATTTCAATTGTAGTGAAATAAAATCTGATTTTAATATAATNAGTTTGAATATAAACTTTGTTATAAAAACAATCAATAAGACTTTAGAAAAAATTTCAATTGTAGTGAAATAAAATCTGATTTTAATATAATCATTTTCTATCCATTGATAAAATTTACACGCACAGGTAATAAGCTTCAATTACGATAATTAGTTATATTAAACATGATAGAAATGATTAGTGATAAATCAAGAACTTGGTCATTATTCATTCACATTAATCTTAATTTGATGTTATTCTTCGAATATTAACAAAGAGTAAATTTGTAAACTTCTAATTCATTCATGTCGCATAAACGATCACAGATGATGAAGCTTCTTTTTGTCGTTACAATGGTATGATGAGCTTAGGCGCTCGTTGATTGATGATGGCGACATTCTACTATTCTACAATCGTTAAGCATTCTGCACTCTGACTCAAAATACTACTATTATTCTTCCTCAAACTCTTAACTATGTTTTTGCTCAAGATAAGTGGGAAAAAATCTCATGTCAGTCTTTGACCGAAAAAACAAAAATAATTCTCAAGTTTTATTAAAGTGTTTAAGTGTTAGATACTATAAAGTAATTTTAGAACTTTATTTTCGTTGGAACAAAAATGTTGATGTTTTCAATACAATTTAACAAAAGAACAAGATTTTCGGAAATAAATAAACGTTATGGTTAAATTGTACAAAGTACTTCCTTTAGTACTTTAATATGTATCAGAAGAGGTATCGATTTCAACTTTAAAAATTATTAGCTCTCACGTATAGCTGATCATATTCATTTAATGTACATATTCCTCATTCGCTCGTTTTTATAGCATTTCTATCGGTTGGAAAATATTTATAACCAAAGACATAAATAGATACAAACCGGCAAATACTTTTTTTTTATGCATTCGAAAAACTAAGAAAATTAAATTAATTTTGAAGTATCATAATGTTTATAAAAAATGAACACAACATTGTGTTATACAACACCATTTTGGAATATTGTAATTATACCTCTAAAAATGATTACTAACAATTTATGTTCTATATATTCTAATTTTTCCACTCCTTATCATTAGTCTATGTGTTTATTAAAAATAATGATAACTGTTTTAATTTGATAAGGTCCACGACACAAATGTATTACATATGTATTTATACAAATATTATATATTTAAGCTAGATGGTTGGGGAGTGTGTACCACGCTGTTTTCACTATGCTGTTCCCCCCGGATCAATACGCCGGCCGGCCAGCGAAGGGTAATTCAGGGCGTGGCGCTCTCATATGGACCGACCGCTACATCTTTGCCTCCCGTCCCGCACAACTATACCATTTCTCCTTTTCTAGACTCGTTACCGCGGCCGAATCATCCGTCCTCCTCCTCGACATCACATAGTTTTATCTTTCGCCGCCACCGTTACTGATGTTGTAAAAGGAATGATCCGTGTCCCAATTACACGAATCATATTATTATGTAAAATTAATTTATGCATTGTACTGGAGAAATGAAAATTTACATAACACAATTGCCTATTGAATATCAAGATCTAATTCGTAAACCAACTATTTGCACAATGCTACTAAAAATTTTACTCATAAAATCATTGCATTTATTTTGCATATTTATACACTTCTACTAAAAACTACTGAAATTATTTTGATAACTTCTTCATTAAACCTTTTAGTTATACACATTTTGTAAGATTCAAAAAAATATTTTTTCATTTTTGCGTACTTGATTTTAATATAATCAACATTCATACATTCTAAAATATCACTGACAAGCATCTTTTATTATTTTAAATTGAGCAAAATTAATAAGAATGGGTTAAACATTTTTTTCTATGAAAATCATAGATACTAAGTGACACTATTATTGAATTTATATGTACGAAAACTTATTAAACCCACTAGACTGATAATTATTATTTAAATTATTTATTGAGTAACAGTCAAATTAATAATACAATATTATTAATTTTAGTTAAAAAATAACGATCATTAAATAAAAAATTTTAATCCCTTTATTTAAATAAATTGCGAGTGCTTAAATATTTTTGTAATAAACAAGATTTTTCAATTGTTTAGTAATAATTTATTTTTTATTTTTCAGGTTTTATTCCTCATTCATAAAGAAATACAATTTCATTGGATAGCCACAGAGTAAAAAAGCTTGTTTCAATTAACGTGTTAAATTTTTTTATTTGCCTGAACCGCACATTCATGTTTACTGGTAAGATGAATTATTCTACAATTATAACATAAAGTTTAACTTCGATAATGAATAGAATTTTTTTTAATAATTTAAAAATTAATTAAACTTGTTTTCTGCAAAAAATTTTAGCACTTTTGCTCAAATCTTAATAGCAACACATGTATTTATACTGCAACAATGCATATCTCAAAATTTGATAAAATTATATTTTTATCAATAATGATATAATAAGTGTTTCTGATATTTTTTTTATATATTTTTGAACAATTCGTAAATTTATTGTATGTTGTAAAAGTAAAATCACTTCTTGTATTAGAATAAGTATAATTTAAGTTTGTTTATTGATAATCCTGAAAGTCTGCAAAAACTGAGATACGTACTTTTTCAGTATAAACGACAAATTTATAATTGATCGCAAATGAACACAATAATAATTTTTATTTATTTTTAATATCTCACATAAATTTTGCCAAATTTAAGTAAAAACAAATTGTTCGAGTACCGTTAATCAACCATTATTACGTTGGAAAGTATTGATTGTAATTTGTTAGTGGGAGAGTTGAAATAATATGAGAACAGTACACACACTGGAATTGTTGAAACCGGTTGTGTAGATATCACGTTATGATAATATATTTATTATCAGTATACTAACAGTGCCTTATCATTAAATGTGGCAGCTGATGTTAATATCATTCAATAGAGTGTAATATGTGTACGGTTTACTACGACGATGGCACTGATGTAGTAGGCGAATGTAAAGCATTCTGTTGTAGTGTACGTTGATCGGTTTAGTATTTCAGTGGTTATCATTTGAGTGTGTCGTTTGTCTATAACTATCAGTCGTACATTTTAAAATCCTTTAAAATTACAACTATGATTCGTTTACGTAATGGTACATAAATTAATATTTGTTTAGTGCAAGTTATTTGGATTTTGTCCTGTTGCACAATTAATAGGTAAATTAAACAAATATTTTAGTACTATTAATTCAAATCAAATTTTATGGTACTATGCTTCAGTTGATACATGAGTTATTGAAATATTTGACGAATAATTAATATTATTTAATATGAAATAAAAGTGATACTGATTGGTTAAAATTAAATAACTCTCCTTTGTCATAATTTTTACTTGTTGTTAAAGGGTAGCTTGACTTGACCAAATATTAGAAAATATCCATCGTAATTTCTTCAAACATTCTCATTGAATTATTTACTGTGGTTTTAAAACATATAATTGGTAATTATTTACACGGACATGTATACTTATTACATTCATACTTATTCTATAGTAATTCATTACATTTAGTGCTATTGATTACTGTTATGTAATACTCTAACCCTCAACTAAAGATTATAACTTAAAATATAAAATTGTATTATGTGCTTTACTGCTATATTTTATAACACCAGTTCATTATTATTTTTTTTGAATTAGTCAATTTGAACCCTATTTGAATATCTGGGCAAGTTAATGATTATATTTAAATCATTACAGTTAAGTGAAATGAAAATAATAAACGAGTTAATTAATTATTATTTTTTTATATAATCAAATTAAAAGTTAAATTCACATAACTCGTTAAGTTAATGCAACTATTAGTAAGTTTGCAAAAATTTCATATGAATAGTATGATAAAATATTTTCTTTCCAAATTTTCTTTTATGCTATAAAATATATGATTTTTTAAACATAAAAACTATATAGCATAATTTTATTCTATTTAATCTACCAAAAATTTTATTATTTTTATATCAAGTAGTGAAAATTACATCTAATAGTCTTCTCCATAGTGAAACACGTATTTCATTTGTTCGATTAACGTCTAGAGACAAAACTTGAGTGACAAGAAGTGTTCACAATTGAAATTCGGTCACCAAAGCCTGCAATCTTCGGTAGCCGACTCGAGCCCCTTCAGAACTCTCATGAAATGGGGGCTCACGCCCCCAAAATCCTCAGAGGAATAAACTCTAGCGTAATTCCAACTTATGTAAACCCATTGGACTGAAAGATACAGTGACCCAATAAGTCTGAACCGTTTCACAAAACGGCATAGTTTGACCCCAAGACACTCGTCGATAAAATGAAATAAGCAATTTGTCAAGGAAACAATGATTTGTAATAATGTTTATAATAATTTTTCAAAAATGGTAGACCTATTAATAAAAAATTCTTTTAGCCAAATTTAGAATTTTAGGAATTTAACGAAAAGTTTAACTTATGCCCTCTTTTAGATATTGTGACTAAATATCTGCTTACTTTTTATTACATAATATATTATGCAAGACATATACAATAATAAAAGGAAAGATCATTGAAGTATTGGCTTTATTTTTTTTACTAGTTTATAAAATCTATTAATTAAATCGTTTGCATTTTTTACGAAATTTTTTTATTTTGCAAATTACCGCAATAAAGAAATTGAATTAGTAATTCTAAAAAATACTATATTTTAAATAATTACCTATAGAAGGTTTTATCCAATAAGTCTATTGTGTCTACAGTGCATTAACTATGAAGAATATTATTGGTTTAGTGTAAAAATAAATACTCAAAAGAGTATTTTTTATTTGTTGAATAAATTATTCATTATAACAACAATGTAGTCTTCAATTTTCTGTTTGTAAAACTTATAAATCTTAAAAAATTGCTTAAACAAATTTTCTCACAATTCGACTCTGGTATTTAGTTTAAATTTCTAAATTTGTAATATCTTTTGAAAATTCTCATTTAAAAATTTTATATTTAAGTTTTAATTCAAATATTTCTCTTTATTTCAATTTCTCATAGTAGAACAATCGACTGATTGATTATTTTTGTATTGTAGTACATTTTAAAATCTTTAATTTAATATAGATTAGAAGATTTTTCTTTTGGAACATTATAAAATTTGGACTAAAAAAATTATACATGCAATAATGTCTTTTTCGAATCCTTTCTGTATTAGGTTTCTTATTGGATTTTCACAAAAATCATACCAAAAAATAATTTATCACGGCATGTCATGATCAATTATTATATCAACTATTGCCATTTGTGCACTCTATTAAATTTTCATCTGAAACAGTGTTTTTAAAAAGTGTTATTGGAGTCTGAGAATGCAGACATTTCTTTTTTTTTATATGTCATTTTTATCGTAGCATAATTTTGAGATATGTTTTATTTATTTTGTTTTTTTATGAACCATAATAAATATAAATTTTATTTCAAAATAAAAATCAATCATAGGGTAAGATACAAAGTTAGCTTTTGAAAGTAAAATAGGAACTTATTTTTTTTTTTTTACTATTAAATAAAGAACGATTTAATAAAATGTTGACAGGTCGGTATTGTATTATTAATTTTTCAGTCATCATTTTTAGTAAAGGCCAGCGGGGTACGTAACATAGAAGAATTTTTATCTGTGCGTTATAGTAAAAATAGAGTGTCATTTAACATTACTTCTCTTTTCAACTTTTCTAAATCTTCAAATACTAATATCTCAAAAAAATAGTAGGGCGTAGTATAATTAATAAATATATATATATATATATATAAATTAACGAAATAATTTTGTTTTAGAACGTGGCCGTAACCAGTATTTAAGAATAAACCAACAAATAGACAAAAATAAAATATGAATTCCTTATTTGATACCAAGGTAAGAAACTATAATAGTATTTCTTTTATATAAACAAAAAATAAATATACAGAATAAAACAATAGGAATATAATAAAAATAATATTTGTTATTGGTAATAAAACTAATACTTTTGGTGTGCGATTATCGGTGTTTTTTCATGTGGTCTCTTATTTAAAAATGTCGCTTCTATTAATTGTTTATGGATATGGTTATTTTGTTCCCTAGGTATATACCTAGGGAGCAAAATAACCATAATGTTCATTGCAGTACGAGAAGGGATTAAAAATAACGGTAGTCAGTAATATTAATAATCGTATAATATTGACATCGCAAAACGGTAATACTTGTGTGTGTGTTTAACGTATCGCATTTACTACATAAGTTATTAAATGAATATACTAATAATATGTAAAATATGTCCTGGTAATATGTACACGGCCTTTGTTACAAGGTTACTTGAGGAAGTAGAAACAAGTTGGATGGTATAGAGGGAACACAAACACTTTTAGGTTCTTCGGCACACAACTGTATCAATAATATGCTGATTATGAAGTTCTTTTGACAGGTCTTCCAACCCTTGCGTGTCATCTCCGTTAGCTTTACTAAAAAACTCCTTCGCACTCGTTTCTTCCACCCCCACAATTTTTTTAACTATTTCATTTTATACTAGTTGTGACTGCCACCACAAGGAAATATTTTATTTCAATCGTTAAGTATCTGATAGCGCATACCATATTATTGATTTTTAATATTGAGTATGGGGTCATCATCGATGCAAATATCGTATATGGGTCATTTGATTATTTCAAAATTAATCAGAAAATTAGATTAATAATTATTGAATTTTCATGGAAATCTTGTTTATTTTAAATATACTGATAGGTAATGGTAATTTTTTTTATTGGTTTTTTCATTGTTATTTTGACCCTTTATTTACACGAGATACATTCTTCAGCGTCTGGGAGGTGTCAAAAAAAGTCTATGGCCGATGAAAAACATTATTATTTTTCTAAATTAAACATTTTTCAATTTGATGAAAACATAATATATATCATTTATATGAATTCTAATGAATTAATCTCTTTTATCGCGAGTTAAGATTTTACAATTATAGATTCACTTGCAACAGAGTATAATTATTTGCATTACAATTTAATATGAAGCCTGATAATTTCCGCCAATAATCTGTCGGTCAAGACTTATTTTACCTTGTATTGTAATTTATCACGTATACACTCTTTCCATTATTTAGAATTTCAGTAACCTATTCAATGTCCTCGTGACATACTAACCGATTATCTGCATTTTAGATGTTTATATCCCGTATAATAACGTGCATTAAAAATTATTGCGAGAAAGTACATCTTGTGTGAGAAAAATTATGAACTAATTACCTTCACAACTAACACATTATTATGAATAAATTATATGTTATTTTATTATGTGTTTTTGCTAATTTTTGAAATTTAATGAAAATTATATTGACGAACATTCAATCTTCCGATTGCTAAATCATTTTGTTTAAAATTTAATTACTTTATCAAAAAGAAATCAAACTAGAAAATAAATTAATTACTATGGGATTATATAACGTAAGAACTTTTTATTTTTAATTTTTTTAATATAATCATTTACATTGAAAATAGAATTGTTTGTTTTAAACTACCGGATATAGAAGGTCCTTAAAGATAAACGAATTAACGAGAATAGATGACTTATATATATATATATAATCCTAACAATTTAACATAGTCTTTATTTTTACGCCTATGATGTGTTCGTATTTTGTCTTAAGGTATAATATTATTCATTTAACTTACTGAGAAACGTAACACTAGAAAACTTTTACTTTTACCTCGATTTTGTTTGACATATAATTCACAATATTCAAATGATACTTAAATACATGTTAGACAGAAGTGTACAACTGTTAGTTAATAAATTCTAATATACTGTTAAAAGTTATTAAGAAAAAACATCACTTTTTGCATGCAAATACATTTAATTTTGATGTGTTCAAATAAAACCTTTAAATTCGTGTCCAATTAAAACTATACTGTGTTATTTTCTAACATTTCCACACAATGTTCTAAAACAATAATGCAAATGCATACCGATTTATCACAAGCACTTGTCGTTCCTTTTTTTCATAATTTGTAATTATTGTTTAACCGAATGTCCCTAAAACACGCAAGTCAGAAGCATGCAAGTGATTTAATAGTAAACTCTGTTTTGTATTTCTATGATTAGTTTTTGAAATGTAAAATAATAGTTCGTTTTTATACTCATATAAATATTCTATCAATGATTGTTTAAAACAATTTCATCTCAATAATCAATACAAATATAGGCTTGTTAATGTTTAACTATACATGAAATTTATTAAAACGATTGGGTATAAAACTTATTTAAATAAATTTAAAAAAACTTGAGTTAGAAATTTTTTTAAATGTATGGATTTATATTAACAAAAACAGATACCTACAATTTTTTAGACAGGCTTACTCAAAGGAAATCTATTTCGGACGCGTGTACTTTTAACGTTACAAACAATTTATATATATTTTTATTAAATCTTAATGATTTACTAATTAGGTAATATGTTTTTCAATAGTTACAAGATATGTCATTATGAGCCTATGTAACTATAGTACATAGTCCAAGTCATCATGTACAAGATGTGCATAAATTAGTCCTTTAACAAATAATTTTATTAGAGGTGTAGCTCTTATTTAATTCAACAATAATAACAGCGTTGAAACTGTCTAACCTTGAAAAAATTTGTGTACAATAAATATTTTCCTTGTTAATTTCTATTGCAGTAAGTAGATTTTCCTACAATAACAAAGACGGACTAATTATTCATAATTTAATAATTGATAATACAATAATACACCACGTAATTTCTTATAAATTAATGATTCATACTAATAATAGGAATTTGAGATTAGATAGGATTTAAAATAAAAATATTTCAAATAGTAATCTAAAAATAACCATGTTGTTATGTATTATATCATGATTTTATTATTGTACATTTGCGTGTTGATTTTGTAATTAAAATATTTGTGTTCATTATTTGATCTATTTAGATTTAATAAAAAATAATCATATTACACTTAAATAGTCTCAAAAGTCGCAATTTTTTCTTAAGACATTTGATTTATCATATAAATCAAATATAACCAATGATGATAATTTAATTAAAACTCTACCAAATTTCCTAGTAGTTTGTTAATTATTTTTAAATGGGTTGCCTCACGATATTATATTACTATAAATCAATAGGCTATTCAGAAATAGTTGTTTACGATTTTATTTATTTAAAATACTTTACTAGATAAACCTAATTACAAGACTTATCCTAGTGTATTATTACAATAAACATTTTACTAATAACTTATATAATAATACAACCTCTTGCATAATACATTGTCAATATATAAAATTGATTATTAATAGATAATGTTTAATTATAAAATTTAAATAGACTTTAAAAAAATTGGCGTTTGCATATTAAAATTATAGCTCGACATAATATAAATACCTTAGAACAAACTATTGTTATGTTCATGTTTATTCAATTATTATCTGTTGGAACCAACAAATTGGCGATAACAACCATTTGATACTTTTAAATTATCTAAAAATTAAAAAAAAAAAATAGCACTTTCTTGTTCTAAGGTATTGATATGAATTAACATCTTTGATTTGGTTTTTATCAAATAATCTATATTGATGCAACTCAAACAAACATATTATAAGTGGGGAAGGAAGACTAAATATCATTTAGTTTGTGAGTACGGAAATGAATTTCCTTTAACAACAACAAAGGCAACTATATGTGTAATTCCATAAAAATTTTTAGACAAGAGCTATCATTTTATAACAAGTTAATCTATTTCGAACATTTTTTTCTGGAAAATTAACTTTCTACATAATTAAATTTGGCTAATTATTTACAATCACATTACATCGGAAAATCTGTATAGTAAATCATGTGTATTATATAAATATGAATATTTGCGATAAAAGCACGAAATAAAAAATTACGAAAACCAGGTGTCGAGTAATTGACACTCATTTTTTTCTAAGTTTATTCATTTAAAACATATTTTGACTGTAACATTGCATGCCTTCCTTGTTAGATGTTTGTACTAAATACTAAGCTTAGTGGTGTATGTGATATGGGCTATTCAGGTGTTGGTGTCCACGTTTGGTGTGAAAAGTGATAGCAGCAGCCGGCGCGTGGTATCGCCGCTGCACGCCGCAGGCCGGTCTGGTGGAGCGCCGTCCAACGGCACCGCCCGCCGTGGATTCGTTGTATGAAAGTGTCGAGCAACAGCGGCAGAGTTTGCGGAGGAGACAGTGGCGGTGGTTGCGGCAACGGCGACGGGGACGGCAACGAAACTGGAAGACGCGGTGACGGCGGTGGCGGCGCGCCCTGCAGACCCAGCAGTGACGGCGGCGGGGGCCTGGTAGCCGGCGTGCTGGTCAGCGACCAAGGAGAAGTGATCAGCGACCGGTATGTGGGAGTGGCGAGGCGCCCATTTGCCTCACGCCAAGCGTCCGAGCGCGGTTCGACTAAGGCCGACCAAAGCGACAGTGACGATGAGACCACGCTCAGGCAAATGCTTGTGAGGTAAGACACCTTAGTTGCATGCTTGCCGGCTTCACTACGCCTAAGCTGTATGCGTACATGTATTAACTTTTCCTGATGACCGTTTTTGAAAATAAAGTTGATCACTTTTGGGGTGTCGTTGCAATGCATTAACTCGCGGATAAAGTGGTTTGCAGAAGTATAAGTAAAATACTCTTTGGCTTTTGTTGAAAGTTCTGTAATAAACTTTTTAAGACACATTTAACGCCGCCTTTTATAATTGACGAGAACAATTGACTTTACAGTGTTGTCAAGTTTTAATGAGGTTAAAATGTACATATCATTTACAAATAACAATGAAATTTATATGAGTACACGTTTTTCCCGGAATGTTTATTTCATGTTATAACAATTGTACAAAATACATAAAGGTAAAAAAGTACCAGATAAAACTTTGTCACTCAGGTCTATTATAATATCCTACAAATCATGATTTGAAAAATGAAAAATAAAAAATGAGTTCTATAACTGAGCAACATTCGAACTTTTTTTTTTAAATGCAGAACATGTTCTTACAGTTTTGAGGAAGACTATTGAAACGTTATCATATAATTTATTAATAAACGTTACTGGTTCATACATGGAAAAAATGAACGGTTTATATAGTGACAACTCTGATAAAACCAGTTGGAATAACTAAATAAATGGTTGATTTGATTTTTAATTCCATCTGTCTTAATTGCAGTTGTCACTATATTAATCGTTTATATGGTTATTCAAACCGTATTTTTTCCCATAAAGAAATATGATAACTCAGTAAATATTTATTATATTATAATATCTATTATTTCAAAATAAGTATCCTTTTTCTGTCCCTAAACTTTAAACAGCTGTAACTTGTTAAAAATCAAATAAAATAATTTTTTTTTAATGAATTAAACTGATAATATAAAAAATAATGGGGTTACCATTTGACGATCGAAAGTTGATACGAGTTTAGGGTACAAAAAATGAGAATTAATCTTTTGTGTAATGAAGCTCAATAAAGAACCATTATTGTTAAAAAAATAAAGATGAGCTCTAATATTTTTGAAGATATTTCGCGAGGCGTAGTTATGGAATCGCCTTGTACAATACTAAAATACTGAGAGTTTCTAGAAATTGTAAACGTGTTGACTTACAAATAAGTCAATGCGTTTTACGGTTTGTAATTAATTTAAATATAATTAAAATGAAATATTTATCTATTTCAACATTTTTTTTAAGATTTCATTTATTTTATATACATAACAAAATTGTTCTTAAAAATGTAGTTCAATTTCTCATAAATATTAGCAATAATCTTTTATTGTAAACAGGTCTCACTGAAAAGTTCAACCTAAACTAACTTCGTGAGTTTACTACTAGAAGTACTTTAGAGATGTAAAGTTCAGTGTTGGTTAGTTTTTCAAATTTCCGGCACGTATTACATGGATGACTTACGAAATGACCCCAATAAAAAAGACACCTTATAAAATATGTTTCATAAATCTGCATAGGGACGCGGTAGCTGCAATATTGTAATAGGCTCTCTTAAGTTTACTCTGGCGAGTTATATCATAAAAAAATCGATCGACCAAAGTCACGCACATTAGCTCAAAATAACATTATTCAATGCCATATAAATATACTGTTTTTTAATGACATAAGTTGTTGATTTAGTAATCGTTTTTTTTTTTTTTCGAAAAATGCATTTACCACGACAACTTTTTGATTGTTTAAATAGATTTGGTTTTTATTAAAAAACAGCAGTTTTGAAATATTAACGTTATTATACCTATGCTGTTGATCGAAGAGTATTGTGCCTACTCACTTCTAAAATATAAAAAAACAGACAAACGACAACTTAGTTTTTTTAACCGCTCTTAGGCAAAATGCAAAAGTGTCACCACAAGACAATGGTGAAAGTTTTATAAAAGTTCAAGAGTTTTGAATTGTTCGACTTTGTCAACAGAGTTTTGTTATGAAAAAATTAAAAGAAAAAACTTTTTAATACCCCATATTTCTTTATTTTTTTGAATATCATTACTGACTTACTGTTTTTACTCACAACAGCGTCGTTGCACGCAACTCCGTGGTATTTAATATGTATAGTTTGTCAATGAAATATATAAAAGGTTTTCATAACTTCAAAACAATCCGCACACTATTTCCACTCGACCTAAAAATTAATAATTTTATTCTTTGCAACAAAACTCTTCTATTTATCTATTCTTTGTAATCAAATTTATCGTATGTATTTCTACTGTAAAACAAAAAAAAATCGTTTAATTATTTTATATTTTTAATTATAAGAGTGTTGTACCTTGTAAAAAAAAGTTCAAAAATCGAAATTGTATATAATACGAGTCCTGTACACTCTTGATTGTAAATTTTTTCGCATAATTTTAGGAGTTATTTCAATAAAACTTGAATACGAGGTCCGAGGCACAACTCTATTTTTAATAAAAAAAAAAATTATATTTTCGACGTATATTTCTCCTAAGCTAATGATAATAATAATATATGTTTAATAATATGTATTTAAATATTTTTTTATACGTTCTTAAATGTAGATTTAAATTAAGATTTTTTTTATGAAGATAGTTTGAATATGCTAAAGCAAATTTCTTTATATTTTATTTAAAATTATACTTTAATAGTCTAAATTTATTCATCTGTAATTTTAATTTGCGAAAAATATAATTTTAAAAGAAAGTTTTAAATTATATTTTATATTTAATAAATATATTCTCAAAATATTTTTTTACGCTGTTTAATAGTATATCAAAATTTGTACCTAGTGCGATATCATCAAAAATTTAAATACAAGTTCTTCTTAATATTGACATATGATCGAGTTTCATATTTAAAATCGGGTCGTTTTATGTATTATTATAATTTTATGTATAATAGGATCGTGTGTTCATCCATTGAATTCAATTTTTCAATATTCATAAGCTATCATATAGATATAAAACTATTGTTAGTAATTAATGTTGTCTCATCATGAGATGCATACATAGAACAGACATTCTGTTTTGAATTGATAAAACAATGAAAAGCATTTCTTTGGCATACTGTGTTACTTTTATTTTCTATTCTGTTATTGACACATTGTTCCAAGAGTGGAATGATTTTAGTAAATTGACATAAAAAATGTTCCTACCCCATTCATAGTGAATATAAATATGTAACTTTTTTGGATTATGGATAAAACAAACCCCAGGGTATTTTATTTGAAATCAAGTTTAAATTACTTTCCGAATTGAAAGCTATTTTAAGTTGTTTCGGTGCAAAGCGATTTAAATTCACTCGGTTTAAAATTTCCATTTCGGCAGTAAATATATTTCTAATTAACTTCACATTGATCAATTTTTGCATTGCACACAGTCCCCACTGAAATGTTAGGGTCAACTTGATTGTTCGAACAACTTTTGCAAATGCATAGAGTTTTACTAAATGTCCACTGTGTTAAAATCTATACACGGATACTTCCCCTTACAACAAAGCACCAACACTAACTATTATGAGAACACATTTATCTACAATTATTACTATCACGAGCATCGTTAATAATAAACTACGTCAAAAGCACAGATGTGATCTATTTATGACCGTTTCCTAGTCGACGACTTAACAATGTCAATCCAAATCGAAATGAAAAACTTATTTATTATTTTCTAGTTTTGAATGAACCAATCTTAAAAATAAGTTCAAACAGATAGAAGAAAATTTTGTCTTGTATTATTATTATTTATTACTTTCAAACTTTATTTCTTCGTCGTTTGATTTGTTTTTATACTGATACGGATATTTTGTATGTCGGCAACAAAAACCGAAATATGTTTTTCACAACTTAGATAAAACAGTTAGATAAACCATATTCATGATCATAGTGATTTTGCTAAAGGACGGGCGAAAGCTGAGCATCGTAAGAGGGGACGATAGAAAGGTTTGAGGGGTAAAGTCTGAAGTTGACGTATTTGGTGGTTTATCCATAATTATCGTGGAAAATGGACGACAGAAACAGATACATTGTATTTTTATTCTCTTTCTTGTAATGAAATCATATCTACTCATGTTGTAACTATAATATCGTAATAGACTTTTGATCGGAGATATTTTTTTTTATAAATTATCACTAACGATTAATAGCTATTACTGTCATTAATGATTGCATTGAGCGGAAAATAAAAACATGGCGATGAGTAATGACTGAACGGTTTATCTCAATTATTGCAATTTATATATATGTTATCAAAATAAAAGGCGGAAGACAGCTGCTTTTGGCGTTTGAAAATTTAACGCCACGTATGATTCTGACACTTGGCTGTCATTGATTTATAAAGCTCTAATAACAATAACTTAACCACCAAATGAACAGTTATGGTTTTAGTTGTCTGTTAAGAAAACAACCTATCAACTCACGATGATTTCAAAATTATTTATCCTAAAAAATTCGTTTTTACTTTACTTCGATTCTACGGTATTTTTAATGTAATTTGTGTTATAATAAAACAAAACTTACATAACATTCAGTTATTTTCATGTTTATATGTAGTTTTCTGTTCTCCCAGCAAGACATGAGTTAATTGCTATTAAATTATCTCTAATCGCAACAGGTTATTATAGAAGTAAATTTTTTTATCGTAATTTTCGTGTCAAAAACCAATGTATCATTCTCATATTTATCTGTCTTTAATAAAACCTTATGGTGCTTTTATTCGAAATTTCTTCCCTATGATACACAATTTACGATCGCGTGTTTGAAGTAAAGTTGACGTGCGTTACAGACTGATATGTTTGTAACACGTGGTAGTCGGTAATTAACTTAATAGTTCTATCCCTCTTGTTTCGATTGTTGGACTGTTACGTGGAAATTATCATTAATAGAGTTATATTTGAACTCTTTCGTTTGTCAGTTGCCAAACGCCGATTTTTTTACCACATTCTTTACCACTCGATCGCTGCCCATTTGTGGAGTGAACGAAAATGAAATTTTGTTTTCAATTGTACTCGTTTGAGCTGTAAAATACTGAGTTGTATATGCTGAGCAACGAAGGGGGTCGGTTATTGTCATTACACACTTACTTATCCCCTACCAATAAAGTTGACACATGTATAACGGTTTGCACGTGCCCTATGTATGTGTCTATACAGCTCATACATGGTGGATGGTTTGCGCAGTTTGCAACACCAGGTGACGGATATGAGCGCCAATCTGACGACGCGTCTGGACGAGCTGCAGTCACGTGGCGTTTCGCCGAGTCCAGCTGCCACCGCATACTACGGCACCGAACACCGGGGTCATGTGGAGACAAGTGTAGCCTTATCCGAGATACGGACACAACTGCACGAGCTGACCCGTTCGCTAGAGTCATGTCAATCGGAAGTAACCGAAGTGAAGCGCGACATGGTGGCCATCAAGAACGAATTGGACACCGTGCAACAGGTCAAAGAAGAGATCGAAGAACTCCGAGAGTACGTGGACAGGCTGGAACTGCAATCTCACCGCCGGAAACTCAAACTGCTCGAACAGGCACGACAATTTGAAATTATACACATTGTTCGTTGGTTGACTGCATGTTTTAATAAAAAACCTTTTTTTATAAGTGTTACAAATATATGATCAAATGTGATTTAGTTGCATTGCATGTTACCTTCATATAGTTTATTTTTTTGAAGTCGCTATTTATTTACTTAAATCCATGTTGGATATATATGCATGACTTAAACAATGTATACTTAATAATTTTTAATAACAAAAAAAAAATACTATATTCAATGATAAACCTTGTTATTGTCTTTAACAGATTATTTTTTCATTTTTTACGCTTTTTTATTACATATTACTATTAATAAGTTTTCTTTAATATAACTTCGTATATCTCATGTATAAATTTGATATGATATGTCAAAACTATACATTGTGTAGTTTTATATCTTTAAACTTTTAATCCGCCTAGTTTTGTGTGTGGTTCGTACAACTCCTTTGACAGATCTGATACAAGTTTTGTAGAAGAAATTTTTATAAGCATGAAAATTGTACCACTTATGAAACATTAAATGAAAGTCTTTTTTTTTGAAAAGAACGGATGTGTTCTTCATACATTGAAGTTCATTACAACAGTAGCAAGTCAGCCGAACATAATAAAGCTACTCGAGTTTTCTTAAATGTTCACAACAGAAACATACAAACTTTATTAATTAATTTTTCTCGTTATAATATTAACAATTAAGTATTAAGCAGAATCAGAAGAAAATATTATTTTTTTAAAAACAGACATTCCGTAATTGCATTTTTAAAAAGTGAACTCTGCCGTTAATGAATAGTTCAAGATCATGTCCTCCGCGTATTACAATGTCAATCGTCACACTTTGATTTATGATTAAACATTTTTTGTAATTGATTTTTTTACGCTTTAAGGCCCGCGAAAGGCCTACACGGCCTCTCCTAAAGAAGAGATTTTTTTTAATCTTATATACTACGGGATTGGTGATTAGTCTGTTGTATTTGATTTTATCTTCATTAATATCAATAGAATATTAAATATTAAATATATGATAGTATTAGGTATATTGAGGTAAAATAGAATTTCTTTAACTTTCAGTATTTTCGACAGCTGATTTGAATTCTAAGAATTAAGATTTACTAACAATAAAAAAAACTATTACAATTTCTATTAATTTGTTGTAAACTAGTTCAAGGCTAAAAAAACTTTTAACGATGAAATAGGTATGACCTCACTCTTCACAAGTCAAACAATTTATCATCCTGTGATAAAATAAAAAAGTATGTGAACTTGAAAATTTCAATAAAATTATATGATGGTTTTTATTGCGATGTTGCAATATTTTCATTTTAGTAGTTGACATAAGATATAAATATTTTGTTAACTTTCAATAAATTATATTGAGAGGTAAATTATTAAATTCATTATTGTTATTATCTCAAGATAATTGATTCTTTATCATGTTTATATTTCATATCTTACTAAATTGTTAAGAGTTTGTAATGATTATAAGTTAAAATGTTTTTACCAATGATATATGACCTAATGAGCATGTGATTAATAAGAAATTTTATATATTCTCACCATATGTAGATTGCATGAATCAATTAGAATTTTTGTAAATATTTAGCGAGGAGTAGGCATTGAATATTTTGTTACTTATGATTGTTTTTAATTAGATGTTACACGTTTTTGTTACTATTCTCCACGTCTTAGGTTTAAAATGTTAATTATAATTTTAGGGACTAACGTTCTTTTTATCCTATGCGATCCTGGCGTCTATGCTGGGCATGCTCCAGTTCGGTTACAACACTGGAGTGATCAATGCACCCGAGGGAGTAAGTCTTCTAGATTTAAATATATGACACACAGTCATGCTAAAACCATATTTTATTTTCAGAATATAGAAAAATTTATCAAGGATGTATTTTTATCTCGGTACAAACGAAACATGGAAGACGGTAGAGCCGAATTTCTATATTCGTTCGCCGTTTCCATATTCGCTATTGGCGGTATGTTGGGTGGATTCAGCGGTGGTATTATCGCCAACCGTTTTGGCAGGTTTGTTAAAAAATAGAACTTAGAAGAATAAAATTATTTTTTTGCCATTCTTATGCTCTGGTTTTTAATCTTTCCTTGGTAGTTTAACGATAAATAAATATATATATATATATAACTTTAGGAAAGGAGGTCTATTGTTAAATAGCTTTGTTGGCATCGGTGGTGCCTGTTTAATGGGTCTTACGAAGTATTTCAACTCCTATGAAGTACTCTTTGTCGGACGATTCATTATAGGAGTCAATTGTGGTAAGAAAATGTTATTAGATAAGTTAATTCCGCTGTACTATGATATTATTTATAACGCCAGCTATTTAAAGTAACGATTATAATTAATGATAATGTTTTAGGTTTAAATACATCACTAGTACCAATGTATATATCAGAAATCGCACCGCTCAATCTACGAGGTGGGCTCGGCACTGTCAATCAGTTGGCCGTGACCACTGGATTGCTCATATCCCAAATATTGGGTATAGAACAATTTCTGGGTACAGACGACCGCTGGCCTGTGTTATTAGGTATGGATTTTGTCACGCGGTATGTTTTATTCAATGACAACAGTTTTCTAACACTTTCGTTTTTGATTTGTTTACAGGATTAGCTATATGCCCTGCCATATTACAATTAATTTTATTGCCCGTTTGTCCCGAATCACCTCGGTATCTATTGATAACTAAACAGTGGGAAGAAGAAGCTAGAAAGGGTGTGTTTAAAGATTTTTATATTGCTTAAAACAGATCAACGTGTAACAATATCCGTTAACGCTGTCCGTGTTTATTGTAACAATTCAGAATAATGTATAAACATCGTTTTACAGCTTTGAGGCGATTGCGGTCGACCAACCAAATAGAAGAAGATATTGAAGAGATGCGGGCTGAAGAACGCGCTCAACAGTCTGAAGCCACAATTTCCATGATGGAATTGTTGTGTTCGCCCACTTTACGGCAACCGCTAATCATTAGTGTTGTCATGCAACTTTCTCAGCAGTTGTCAGGAATAAATGCCGTAAGAAATATTACAAATAATTAATTGTCAAAGTCTAAACGTTTTTTGTAACTGTTTTGCCCTAGGTATTCTACTACTCAACTAGCCTGTTCGTGGTAGCTGGTTTAGCAGAAAATGTGGCAAAATTTGTTACCATCGGCATTGGAGTGATCATGGTGATAATGACACTAGTCACCATGCCATTGATGGACAAAACAGGGCGGCGTACGTTGCATCTTTACGGTCTTGGTGGAATGTTTATTTTTTCAATTTTCATAACAATATCATTACTAATAAAGGTAAGTGTGCAACATTTTATTATTATATTCCTATGCAAATTAACTGGAAGGTTTTTAAGAAAAATCACATTACGTGTACATTGGAATAATATTAATTTAAAAATGTATCAACTGATAAAATAAGAATGAATAATCAGAATAGTGCCTCTTTACTTATATAACTTTTTACATTTATTAATAGTACTTTTATACTTGATAAACAATTGTTTGTAATTGTTATAATATAGTACACATTTGTGATATATTTATAAGAGATAATATTTTATAACTAAATAATGTTTTTTATAAATATTTATTGAATTATATTACATTGATTTTATTAATTTTTAAGTTAAGAAATATATAAGGGTAGTTTTAAAACAAAACGAGAACGTCGACTGGTTTCAGTCAAGACATTTTATGTCTAACACATATTTATCATGACCTATTGTTAGAAGTTTTCGTGATAATCAACCAAAAATTAATGTTGAAATATTACCAGACCCAAAATGTATATGCTTTTATATTTCAACTATGTTAAAAGAATTACTGTACCCGGTATTGTTAACTTGATCTATTAAAAATATAAGAATAAATAAACGAATTTTAATCTACTTCCACACTTAATATAAATAAGTAGAACATCATACATTATTAGGAAATTTTTTTGATTTTTAAGTATTTGTAAAATTTAAACATTCCAAACTAGTCTAAATTTTTTATTAAAGTCAGAGTTTGTCGTCACAATGACAAATAATTACTTTTCTACTAATATGGAAAATGTGATTTAGATGGAGAAAAATATGGCTATTTTGTTTTAATCATTCATACTAACTATAATTTAATCGATTATCAAATTCATTAATTCTAAATGAAATTCATATTTTTATTACTTTACCTACTAAATATACTTTAAGGCATGCAATTTTTATCGTTTTGTTGCTGCTTCTTATTATTTGTTTTTACCTACTTTAATACATTTTTTCTTTGTTCTATCTAAGATTTAAAATTATTTTCTATCACAAACTACATCTGCATAGAAGAAATTTAGTAATAATTTTGTTAATTAAATTGTATGCAATTTTATTTTTTATTCAAACATTATATGCTTTTTTATTATTATTATTTGGTCAAGTACAAAACTTCGTTCTGGCTAAAATTCTTAAAGTCACATGATTATATTTTCAATTTTTTTAAATAAAATTTATTTTTTATTTTTCGTGACTGTGAATTTTGAGTCTAGAACGTTGGACAGAGTACCAACGTTCCTTAGGAGTTTTTTGGTTTTGTTAAGGAAATGATCGACTGGATGTCGTACTTGGCCGTTGTATCTATACTGGGATTTGTTGTGTTCTTCGCTGTTGGACCGGGATCTATACCTTGGATGATAACCGCAGAGCTATTTAGCCAAGGTCCTAGGCCAGCGGCCATGTCTATAGCTGTGCTCATCAACTGGGTAGCCAATTTTGCTGTCGGCATAGGCTTCCAACCACTAAAGGTAAATAATTTTGTCTTGTATGATTTGTGTTAATAATATTTGTACTAAAAAATTAAGTTCAAATAATTTGACCATAACTGCCAGTTTAAGGGGTCCACTTTATATGAAAATAGCGTATTATTCAATGGATCAGGCACATGGGCAGGATTTTATTTTGAGTGGGTTCATATGAAAATTTCACGTTCTCCGCTCAATACTATCAAGTTTAATATCATATTATATATTATATAATGTAATTTTATAGAAATTCCTAGGATCCAGACCTTATTAATCCTATTGTATATGTATCTATGAGGAGTCCCTTAAATTTAAAGGTTTTAAATTTGATTAAACTGGGAATGGAGGTGGACAAGAACTACCTATGAACTAGTTCCATTGTGCACATCGGGATTGGAAGTAATTAAATAAAAAATAGTTTATGCATATAATTTTAAATAATTTTACAGTTAAAACATCAATGAACAACATTACCTTGTTATGTTTTATTTCCAATTTACTTTAAAACGACGTAAACATACTCAGATTTATAGAAATATTTATACCAAATTAAGGAATTTCATTATTTTTCAGACTGCTCTGGATAATTATACATTCCTACCATTTAGCGTGCTACTGGCANTTCAGATTTATACAAATATTTATACCAAATTAAGGAATTTCATTATTTTTCAGACTGCTCTGGATAATTATACATTCCTACCATTTAGCGTGCTACTGGCAATATTTTGGATATTTACCTACAAGAAAGTACCAGAAACTAAAAACAAAACTTTCGAAGAAATATTAGCCATATTCAGACACAATGGCAGGTTGGAACATTATATTAATAATATTACCTGATACATCCCTAGATAACAATATAATGGACATTTTTTTAATTATCGATGTAATAGAATAAATAATGAAAATTTAAAATATAATCATAAAAAAATGTTAAAAGATTTGAAAAATTAAATATTAGGAAATAAGTGTAAAAAATAATAAGTGATATATTTTATCTTTCACGTGTAAAAATAAATTATTGAGCGTCTTTTTAGCACATATATTTTTACATATAATTAATAACCTACTACAAATAACAATATGAAATACGATAGAAAACTTTTTTTTTTTTAGAAAAACTTTTACCTACATATTATAAAATAATAACTTTCAGTTTCAATTTTATCGTAAAAAAAACAGTATTATTCATTTAATTCCATGTTTTTATAATATTATTGAATAAATTAGCGTTATATTAAATACCTTTTATATTTTAATTTCGCTTACATAGAGGAAGCGTCTTAGAATCAAGTCTTTTGTATGGGTAAGTATATAACCAATTATGAAAGGCTTAGAGATTTTTAATAAAATTATTTTTGTTCCTATAAATGTCCAAGATAAATTTTAATCTTTGAATGTTATCAATCACTTTTCATTGAATTAGTTGGTACATTGTTTTATTAAACTGTTGATAAAATATATTGTGATAATAAATTATCTGTTTATTACATGCAAAAAAATGATCAATAAAAACTGAACATTTGCTTCAAAACTAATGTAGAAGGTTTAAATAATGTTATTTTTAATCATAACAATACTTAGTAGAGGATACAGTTTTTGGTTGTTTTATTTATCTTTTTTTTTTATTATTATTTTTAACTATATTTTATTTAATTATATTATTTTTTTAACGTTTCGATATATTTACAGCAATAATGTTATTGATACGGGCAATATAACTACGTCTACAGCCACTTTAGTTCGAACAGAAGAAACTCCATTAAACACAGACAAATCGGCCATTTCATATATAACTACCCTAACAACATTTTTTTAAAAATAATGTTATAATAATGTTCCTATAACGTTATTATAACATATAATGTTATAACAATGTTTTTATAGTATTATTCTTAAAAATTGCTATCTGGGTAACCCTAAATTTAGTTAAAAATATGTATTAGTTTGTTTTATTTTAATCAATTTTTAGTTGTTATTGAATAATTTATTGTTTTTTATATTTTGTTTATTTTATTTATATTGTACATTATATTTTATTTATCATTCATTTTGATACTGTTTGTTTTATTTCTTACCAGTTACTTATGAAAAAATCTTATCACTACAAAAATATACTTGTAAATTGTCTAAAATATTTTCCCAGTTGAAAATTTAAAAATATCTAGTTATAAATAAATGTTCACAGGAGTATGTTAACTTATTCAAACACGTTAGACGAATATTTACCACCCTCTGAAAGGGCCTCATTAATGGTGGCTGAGGAGAAACCTTTGCCTGATTCATGTAAGCGTTATCGGTTCAATATTTTATTATTTTATTACATTTGTATAGTAACAATACTTCATACAACAACCGTTTATACGATATTAACGATGCAGTAATTAGGCATGTATATAATTTAGACATAATATATGTCTAAACACCTATTATGATTTTATAAATTGTAATTAATTAGCTAGAGTATTTTTAATTTACTTTAAAGAATTATACAAATTTGCAAAATACCAAACAGTCATTATTTCGAAATTGCATAGTTATTATTATCATAAATATAAACATACATGCACACACCAAGTGTATTTAATTAGTTATTATTTGTATTTTACTGTTTACTTTACTAAATATATTTTTTATTTTTATGACTACATTTTTTGCATGCATTTATTTTTTTAAATAATATTATTGCATTTATTAATTTTAAGTTATTTTTTGTTACAATTATTATCATTCTAGAATTTTTTTTTGCAAATAATTGAAAGGACGTTAGAAAAAATATAAGTATTTTAATTAATTAAACGAAATAATTAATGTTAAAATTTAATATAAAATTATTACCTTAATTATTATTACCAGTTTTATAGATTAATAAATTTAATAAAATCAAATTGATAATAGTTTTTTTTTCACCTCTGACTATAATAATGTTAATAAGTTGGATTCGTTTAAAACATTGTGTATAATATAAACACTTTTTTTTTAACTTTCAAATTTTATAATAATACACTCTGGATTATAAAATAGCTTATAATTACTTAAAGAATATAATTACAGTAAAAAAAATATTATTTATTGTGTAATTATTAAGAATTTAAATTTAATTATCCATTTATGAATTCTTATAAATAGTGTAATTGATTTTTATAATAAATTTTAAACACTTTTTATTTTATCCTAAATTAAAATTTAATAGAAAAACATAAGATTTATTTTTATCACATTATTATGATTAATGAAGTTGAATTGATTTTTAATTATGAAATATTTGCTACGGTAATTACATCCAATATATTTCGTACGTTAAATAGTTGTAGTTTTAAAAATACATTACACTTTTATTTTAATACAGAGCCGGCTTGAGATGTAATGGCACCCTAAGACCACCGTTATGTAAGTGTGTTTTTATACTTATAAAAGAAACGTTTAACGCACACTAAAAGCATCATTAACACCTTAAACAATCGCCTAGGTCGCCTTACCCTCGCGCCGGGCCTGGTTAATTATTAGCTTTCAAAAAAAAAAAAATAACTAAAAATAATATTCTACTTAATTACAGCACCAGTACAACAATCACCGACGGACCAGGAAATGTGTGCTGTATGCGTCAACACTGGCAGTTCCCTCATGATGACTTCTCCGAGCGTAACTCGCCGACCGAGTCATCCGCTCAGTAATCATGTTTGCCCGATTGATTAAAAATCTGTACCATAGATAATAATTTTAATAATTATTACCTATGAGCAGTGCTAATTCTCAAATTAATATAATTTTCTAGACCTAGACATATATAGGGATCATATAAACATTTTTATAGTAATATAATAATCTTTATTGTATTCTATAATAGATATTTGTCTTTAAGTCTATTTAATTGTCCCATTCATTTGTAATAAAAATATATAATATATCGGCAACTCTTAATCGTTCAAAACACTTTAGGTATGGTATTCAGTCTAATAAAATAATCAATCTTGAAAAAACTTTTTGAATCAGCAAATTTCCCCAACTTTCCTTCATACAAATTAATTCAATTTTATACATGATTTGAATAATACTTGGTGATCATTTTTCTAAAATTAGTATGAATATAAAATAATTCAATGGCTTAAACTATTCTGACACGACTTAGGGTTTATTAAAAAGAGATATTTTTCATTATTATTGATCAAAATTAAGCATGTAACACAAAACATATAAATATTATAATACAAAATTCAGCAATATTGTCTACGTATCGTCTTTTCATTTTCGTTTTTCGTTATATTATTATTCGCAAGCGCGATCTTTGTATATATTGTTATTGTTTCATTGAATTTAATATATTACTAATATAATTATAAAATAATTTTGTTATATTGTAAATAGATGAAAATTTTAATAACTACAAAAAACTAAAAAACGCTCATGATGACTGAGAAATCGTACTATTATAATATATTATAATTCACTAATTATAAATACTTGTGGAACTTACAATGTTTTTTTATTCCCTTTAATAAATTTTAACATTTTAATTTTTCAGTGTATTTATTTTAATAGTGAAAAATAAATTAAATAAAACGATATATGTTTAAATATACCTAGTCAATTTTTAAAGTAATATTGTTTTAGATATTTTAAAATTTGTTCATTATGTACTAATATTTCAGAATAATAATTTATATCTATACTTGTTCAGAAGAAAAGATTTCATAGCAATATCAAAAATAAACCAATTTTTTTTTTTCAAATTGTTATACAATTTTTACAAAATTAAGTAATAATTACCAAAACAATTTTATTCTAAATTTGTAGATACATAAATATAAAAAATATATTGTTGAATTTTAGTAATTAGTACTCATTAATGTTATTTGGTGTATTAATCTCTAATAAAACAACAAAATAATTTATAATAATTGTGTACATATATTTATTGTGTAACAAATTCTTAATTACTTGATAAAATAAATGTTTTAAAAGCTTAAAAAAATATGTAGAAATAGTTTGATAAAACCAATTCAGTAAAGAAAATTTTAAATAAGAAATATTTATACAAAAAACCCAGCACAAGGGGTCGCGGCACAAAGGTGACGTAGCATAGTTGGATCTATTATAATGATATCTGACAGTGATTAAAATCACTATAAAAAAAACGCTTCGATGCAATCTTTAGATAGTGTTTAATTTTAAAAAATTGGTGGATTATTCCAAAAGCTATATGATCTGCTAGTTCCTTATTGATATACTGATTAAGATAAAGTATGTCAAATGAAAAAGGGATTCTTAAAAAATAATATTTCTCATAAAAAAATTGTGTTGATCCATACACTTTTAATAATTTATAGCATTATAAAGTTAAAAATTTTAAAAATAAAATTGAGAATTTTCACACAAAAATAGCATTCAATAGCCATTTTCACCGTGAAGACAAAATAAAGTCCGAAATTTTTTTTTTCCATGATAAAGTATATTACATTAGCTTAAATTTAAGATATATATAAAAGTGTCAGACTTTCCTGAACATTTTCAAAATTCAAGTTGATAAAGTTAATTTTTTGTTAAAAAGTTGTCATTATAAATCCCCCCTGTGGTTTAGGGTCAGATTTATAAAAAAAATATACCAAATGATAGGTTAAAACATTATGCATCTATTAAAAAAAAAAATTATATTGATTTATTCATTTTTGAAAAAGTTATGACAGTTTTAAGTAAAAAAAATTTCGAAAATTAGTGATTTTTAAATTTGTAATTTTTTTGGAGGTTTCTCCCATTTACGGTGAACGAGGGAAATAATGTCTTCGACTAGATACGATTTGTGAACTTTTGACGTATCGTTGAAAGAAATCCGTTCGGTGAGAGCTGAGAAAAAGTGGTAACAGACACACACACAAAAAAAAAAAAACATAGTAAAACCAATACCTTCTCATCTTCGCATCGAAGCTAAAATTTATATATTTTTATATAAACTATTACTATACTATTATACTGTATTATCATATTTTTTCTAAACATTCAGATGGTAAATAAAAGACAATTTAATCTCTAAATGAGAAAAGTAAATTTTTTATTACAAATTAAGTGTACATTTTATTAAATTCACACTGTTTACCATCAGAATGCTATAATTCAGATGTAGCCTTTTTATAATTATACATATAATCTGTTGAAGTAAATTATAATGTTTAAGATGCATTAATTAATTTTTGGATTTTATACAAACATTTTTGGAAAATAAACTTTTAAACTTTTATTATTTCAGGAAAATTTTCAGCATATAAGAGAGAGTATAGGTGTAGCATCAACCGTGGATAAGAAGAGAGAAAATATACTTAGATGGTTTGATCATGTTATGAGAAGAGAAGAATCGGAAGCTATAAGAACAGTTATAGAAATGAATGTTGGAGGAAGAAGAGGTAGAGGAAGACCAAAAAAGAATTTGAGGGATGCTATTGAATGCGATATGGGGACAGCTGATGTGAGCGTAGATGATGTGGGAGATCGTATCAAGTGGAAGTTTAGGATAAGGGTGGCCAATCCCAAGTAGTTGGGGTTAAGGCGAGGAAGAAGAAGAAGATTATTTCAGGAAAATTTAACAATGTAGAATAGTCACTTATTAATACTATACTGCTTCTATTTTTATAATAAGTTGTTTAAGCCTAAATATCAATCATTGACAGTTTATATCAGACATGACAACATTATTGGTTATAATATAACTCAACCTGTCAATTTGGAAGTTTAATAAATAGTAACACAAATAAAAGAAGATCAGAAACTTTGATTTTATTTATTTCAAGTATTTAATTTGTTAAATTAATTGAACGACCTTATTACATTAAGAAAAAGCAAAAAGTTAAATTAAATACATATTCTTTCAATTTTTAAGAATCAAAATTGTACAATTTACAAACACAAATGTATTTTTAAATAAAATTTTAATGTTATTAAAGCCGTGAACCTCCTGGGTCAATTATTTATCCTATTTTTAACTAAGTTTATAGATACTAAAAGTCTTATCTGCATTAAGGAGTATGGATATTATATTTAAATGAACATTTTCCAATTCATTTTGATTAAATAGATTTTAATTATCCTCTCATTTTTATTGATGGCATACAGAGTTAGTAGATGTAAAAAACCTCTTCAATGCTGTAAAATCATCAAATATAAAATTATCTAATTCAGGATTCTGTTGAGTTATGTTCTGCTTATCAGTATGTACTAAAAATGCAGACCAGCCTGCATTTTTGGCTGCTACATAGTCTAAAGTATATGAATCACCTACATGTAAAAATAATTTTTTATCTGAGTAATCCTTTACAAATGATTCTGCTTTTTGAAATATTTCTACTGATGGTTTTGCAAAACCAACTTCATAAGAAGACAATATAAATGAAAAATAATTTTCAAGCCTATGGTTTTTAATAATATCTTTAATTCTAGGATCATAATTTGAAATTATTCCCAAAGGTATTTGTTTACTTTTTAAATATTGTAATAAACTAATAACTCCATTTTGTAAAACAAATGTATCACCTGTACTATAAGTTTGCATAAGATCATCAATAATATTAGTAAGTTTTTTATTGTGAATAAAAATGTTTTGCTTACAGAGAGTATCACTTATAACATTGTGAGCAAAACTTTTCCAATAATTCTCCCAACCAAGACCAGTTTTAAGTCCAAAATTAGGATGCTTTTTAGTCATTTCATACATATTCTTATTAATCAAATCTTTTATAATAGGCTTTTTTACTTGAACACCATGTTTCAATAGCACGGTCCAATACTCTTCAGCTGGTGAGGTTCTATATTTAAAAATGGTTCCAGTTATATCAAAAGTTATTAGTTTATATAATCGACACTCCATTGCTAAAGCTAAGCAATATGATTGATTAACTACATCTATAATTAAAAAAATATTGGATTGTGATAATATAAAATAAATAAAAAGAACAAGAACTTTAACTTACAAATTTTATTCCCATTATCAAATAATTTTATGATAATATTCAAGATGGATAAATCCATCAAGATAACAGTTTTAGATTATCTATGCACTGATAAGATCACAAAAATCTAATTGAAAGTTATTTTTTTAAAGTTACGAAATCACTATAGGCTAAGTAAATCGAAAAATTTATCATAGCTCTCTCTTTAAACTCTTAAATATTCTACTAGTCATTTTTTTATAATTTTTTAACGCGTTATCCAGATTTCTTATTGTATACAAAATACTTTTGTTTTTACACATTTTTTAAAATCTAGTATTATTATACTTTTATTATAAAAAAAGACGTGCGTAAAGTGAGCAATTTCTAGCTTAAGAAATTGCCAACTATTTCCCTGTATACATGCAGGCCAAAACCTAAACATGCGTATAGAAACTAGTACTTTTTCAACTCAATTTTTGAAAATGTTCCGGAAATACTGAGACTTTTATATATATCTTAAATTGAATCTTATGATATATCCTTAAATATAAACAAAAAAAATTTGACCTGTGGACTTCATGGTAGATATGGCTACCATATTCAAAAATATGCTATTTTTGTGTTATAATTCTCGGTTTTATATTTAAAAATACCTTAGAAAGTTTTTAAGTTAGAAAAAATGTTGATCTCATTTAAATTCTATTACATAAAAAAATATCAAGAACCCCATCAATGTTGACTCCCCTTGTTTGAAGAAATGTCTTAATCATATTAAAATTATTTTACTATGTCATTATTTTGGGGCTATTATTTATTTTCTCAGCTCTTACATGACTATCTAGTTGAAGATTTAACCCTCAAGAATTGAAAAAAGTTCTAATTTATCAATTAAACAGTTAATTATCCCATGCTCCCCATACAGACAATTAAAATCATTCATTTCTAATATTTTATAAGTATTTACTGTCGAATTATGTTTGATATGATAGGGTTTCAACTACAAAATTAAATTAATTTATTTTGTAGTTTATTAATAATTAATAAACAATTATTGTTTAACGCTATTAGTGTGTGTTACTACCAGTCATTAAAATTTTAAATATTTTTTGGATTTTTAGTTTCACCTAAATTTAACAATCATAATCAAATTTTATATTACGCTTAATTGAGTAGATTTTTTTAACAACATTTTGATTGTTTTTGTTAGTTAAAGTAAATCATTAAATTTAATTAAGTACTGAATATTTCAATTGTAAAATCTTTTTAAACACCAAAAGTTACTTAGAAATGATTACTAAAATTTCTATTTAGGTTATCTATTACAATAAAAATGCAAAAAAAAAAATTGAGTTTTTCTGATGAATTTTATAGTAAATAGTAATTGTAAGATCTCCGTGGCACATGCTGTGCCGCGACCCCACTGTGCTACTTTTTTTTTTTGAATTATTAGAATACAAATTTCTTAGATTATGTTACCACGGTAATGGTTACTGTTATATGTGGAATCGTGGTATTAGTAGAAGATATTGCGATCACATTTATGTATATCTGATTTAATTAGTTGCTTTTAAACTCCACGCCGATCATATCATAACGCTATTTTTCAACTATTGAATTTATCAGTAAGTAAACATATTGTTGTTAAATTTCTAATTTTTAATTTTATTTAGTAATCACATATAAGATTTAAGGTAGTTCTTTTTAGTAAAATGGAAACATTACTTGAACAGCAACGCCGTTCTCATGAAGAACGAGAACGTTTAGTTGATGCAATGGTTAGAGAAATGTTGTTCAAAAAACCAACTACTAGAGATGTTATAAACTCGGAACATCGCCTTAAACTTCTACTTGATCAATATACGGAGGATACAAGTAAACTTCGAGAATTTTATGAAGATAAAGATGGCTTACGTAAAGAAGAAATATCGTCCATCTCAGGACCAAATGAATTTGCAGAATTTTACTTTCGATTAAAGAGTATAAAAGATTTTCATAAAAAGCATCCTAATGAAATATCTGTACCATTGTCAGTTGAGTTTGAAGAATTAAATAATCTACGAGAAAACCCATCAGAAGAAATGGCTAATATGGTTGATTTTACTGATGAGGAGGGTTATGGTCGCTATCTTGATTTACATGAGTGTTATGAAAAATATGTTAATTTAAAGGGTGTTGAAAAAGTAGACTATATCACATATCTCTCTATATTTGATCATTTATTTGATATACCTAAAGATCGTAAAAATTCTGAGTATAGAAAATATGTTGAAATATTGTTAGAATACTTGCATGGTTATTTTTTACGAGTTAAACCTTTGCACAATATTGATATAGAAATGGAAAATGTACGTAAAGGTTTTTCAACACAATGGGAAGAGGGGACTTTTCCAGGTTGGCCTAAAGATACTAGTAGTGCTTTAGCTAATGTTGGGGCACATTTAGATTTGTATGCTTTTTCTTCATGGGAAGAATTAGCATCACTTGGTCTTGATCGTTTAAAATCAGCATTAATGGCATTAGGACTAAAATGTGGAGGAACATTAGAAGAAAGAGCTCAAAGATTATTTTCAACTAAGGGAAAATCTTCAATAGATCCCTCTTTGTTAGCCAAAGGCAAACCTGGAAAAATGAACCGTAATAAAGAACAAGAAAGACAAAAAGAGCTAGCATTACAAGAAGCTCATATATATAAATTTTGTGAACTATTATCTGAACAAAGATTAGCAACAAAAGAAAATGTACAAAGAAGACAAGCCCGCACTGAAGGTGAACGTGATGATTCTGAAAATGAGGCTAGTGCATCAGAATCTGAAGATGAGCAAGGAGATGATATCCCATACAATCCAAAAAATTTACCTCTTGGTTGGGACGGGAAACCTATTCCTTATTGGTTATATAAATTACATGGACTTAATATCAGCTACAACTGTGAAATTTGTGGCAATTTTACATATAAGGGGCCAAAAGCATTCCAAAGACATTTTGCAGAATGGAGACATGCTCATGGCATGAGATGTCTAGGTATACCTAATACAGCTCACTTTGCTAATGTTACACAAATTGAAGATGCATTAGCTCTATGGGAAAAACTTAAAACTATGAAACATGATGAACGATGGCAACCTGAAAATGAAGAAGAATTTGAAGATTCTCAAGGAAATGTAGTCACTAAAAAAACCTATGAAGATCTTAAAAGACAAGGGCTACTATAAACTAACAATATGTGTATATACATTTCTTAAAACATTGATTACTGTAATATTTATGTTTTTTTTTAAAAAAAGGTTTAATTTTAATTATTATGATGTGAAAATAAATAAAACAATTATTAAATTTTATTTTACTATTAGACCCGTAATTTATTTTATTTTTAAATAAAAGTAGTTAATTGATATTGCAATACTTAAATACTACTAAAAATTATATTCATGAATTTTTACAAAATATTCAAAATTATCATTGCAGAATAAAACTATTTATTTCCAGTCAAATGTTACATATAATTCATCTAACTATGAAAATGTCATTTATACTTGTGTTTTAAGTAACCCATTTGACTAATGGTTTAATAAAATTAAACAATTTATGTAGCAGATCTATAAGCGAAAATTAGGAATTTTATTTTTAACACATACTAAAAATTACAGAATGCCCTTATTTACACTCAATTTGTTTTTTTTTTTTTACTTAAATAAAACATCCAAAAAATTGACTTTTTTCAGTTTTTATAGAATGGAGAAAGTATTTGTTTATGGAACCTTAAAACATAACCAACCCAACTTTGATGCAATGAAAGATGAAAAAAATGGTATCGCTTCATTTAGTACTAAAGCTACTTCAATTAAAATGTATCCTCTAGTAATTGGTACAAAATATAACATTCCTTTTTTGCTTTGCAGAGAAGGTTTGGGCCATGTAAGTAACACAAGAAAAAATTTATCAACTTATACAAAAATTAAAAAACTTTTTGTAGGAAATACGTGGTGAAGTTTATGATGTAGATGCCAATATGTTAAACTTTTTGGATAAATTTGAAAATCACCCTAATTTTTATGTAAGGAAAAAGATTTCTGTTAAGTTACCTAACAGTAGTGTTACAGAATGTTGGACTTATTTTTTAACAAACTACCCTGCCAATTTTTTAAATTTACAATTTTTTGAAGAATATGATTCAAATGGTGCACATGGGCTTCCTTATGTCACAAGGTATCATAGAAATCCACAAGATGTAGCTCATTTTCATAATTGGAATAATATCAATTTTAACACAAATTTAAAACACTTAAAATTTTTACAGTGAAGAAATTACATCATTGGAAATGGAATTTGAGAGCTATACATAATCATAATCAAAATTATAATTTTTTAAAAGTAAATACTATGAATCAATCAAAAGATTTACTCATAAAAATCCAAAAGGCCACCGAATTATTCTCCCATTGACAAATATTTATTCAATTTTGAACACATGACTTTAATCAGCATTTTTCCCATTGGTCAATTTTTATATAATTCAAATTGAAGGCTTTCCATCCTTTTAATTTTTTCTTTTATAATAATCCATCAATTTTTTTAAATGTATTGATAATTCTTAAAGTATAAAATATGTCCTTGGGAATAGTGTATAAAGAAATTATTAATAAAAAAAAATATTTTTTTTCCCATATTTTCATTTTATATGATTTTTGGGTATTATACTATATTGTGATGATTTAAAAAAAACATGAAATTAGCATTTAAAATGTCATCTAGTTAAAAATGTTTAAATAATCATTATAATAATAATGGTATATAAGTGGTAAATCATCTCAATTACAATAATTAAAATTTAAAAAAAAATTATTAATATTTCTTTTTATTGAAATAATGTTTATTTTTTCATCATATTGACATAATTTTAAAATAACATTTTATAAATCGATATTCATCATGAAATGATAAAATATCGAATTTTATTAAATACAATCATTTTAATTACAAGTTATTGACTAGATATATTTTAATTAAATATTGGTAGTTTATGAAAATATAAAAAAAAAAACAATAAGTCAATTTTTTAAATTATTGTCAATTAAGGAAAATTTATTATCCATTGATTTAATCCTGTAACACTGAACATGTTGTAAAATAACTGAAGCTGCATCTTCCCGTTCAATTTCATTTAGACCATCAATTAGCATACCTAATAAGAAAAAGATTAATATAAGAAAATCAATGTAATAATTAAGATAATATTATTTAATATCAGAGTGATTGGTCAAGGATAAGACACTCATTTAATCAAAAACTATTGAAAATCATCAATTTTTGTAAAGGAAATATTGTTTAAATAAAAAAACTACAATTATATGTAGTTTAATAATTTTGTTTCATTCCTTCAGGGATAAAAAATCTAATCTTTAAGTTTCATTGTTGAGAAACCCTATTTTTAGTTCAATATGATAGGAAAAAATTACTAATAACTTTGTTATTATAATTCTTTTTCTAATCAACCGATTGCATTTTAAAATTGTTTATAAAACTAGATTGCAACTAACTTTAATGATAGGCCATAAATTATTATATATTTATTATATCTGTATTTTTTCTTGCTATTGTAAGTGATAGATATGATATAGATTTGACAATAAAAACTGATTTATGTGAAAACATAAAGAAATGATAACTACTATATGCTATACAGTAAATTATCAATAAAAAAATAGTAAACAATCGTTAATCTTTGACAAGTGATAACAGATAAACAGATCATCATATAAAAAATATAAGAACAAAAATGTTTTTAATTTTTTCTTTTATTACATCATTAAATTAATAGAAGTTCCTATTAAAGATAATTAAAACTTAAATTGTTTAACCTTAAAGAATGAAGAAAAAAAATTATTTAACTTTGAATTATTGTAGAGATTTTTTGATCAAATTTTTTCCTCAACAAAAATTGAAAATATTTCAAAGAAAATCTTATTCTTAATCAGTGTATACTAAAAATATTTTTAACAGGATTTCTTAGTTATCTATTAATTATTAAGAGTCCACATTTATTTTAACAAATTATTCAGTTTAATACAAACCAATAGTAGTAGCCGGCTGGCTAGTTGCCCATAAATCAATTAATTTTAGGAAAGGGCTAGTTTGTTCATCATCTAATAATTGCACTTTAGAGTCTAATCCAATATTTAAAGCAAATAAAGCCCAATCTTTTCCTAATGGATGTACTTTATCAAGAAGTTGACTCAACTCTTGTCGGCATAGCATACTTAACTCTGTTAAAGGTAATTCAGAACTACACAAAAGCTTGTCGATCACCTAAAAAAATAACTTTATCTGAATATTTATTTATAAAATTATAATAAGTAAAGTTAATTTTATAATAAATAATATACTCTGTCACATCCAAAAGCTAATACATCTAAAACACATTCTTTTATGTTGGATAAAGGATGAATCACCGTAGATTTGAATTTTGATTGATTTTGAATGGATTTAAATAAATCGTGAACACTATAAGAATGTGGTTGGGTGTTATGTTCAGATAAATCTAAAGGACTCAAAAACTCTTTAATGATTTTCATTCTTGGACAACATTCACTTAGAACCTATATTTTTGATATAATAATAAATAATTATAAGCTATACCATGGATAATTTCTTACTAAATTTATAGAATGTAGAATTTCTTCCAAAAAATAAAAACATGTATAACTTGATGATTGTGGTCCACGTATTTTTATATCTATACAATTATCATGTTCAAGTGATACCATACATTCAATACAGCTTACATAAAATATAGCACCACCATACCACTGGTATAAGAAACTATCCATTTCTTCATAATAGTTATTTTGCAAATATCTAAGTTCAACTTGTATTTTCATAAATATTGAAGTTAACAGTTCAAAGAATGGAGGTTGTGAAGTAAAGCGAACTCCTCCATAACACTTCTCATTATTATTGTGCCATGGTTTCCAAAGTGTTTCATCTTTTTCTCTAATTATATAAGTAGGGAATTCATATTCAATATCACCATCATTGTCATACTAAAACCAAAATTTCATTAGAGATTAAGGGAAAAATAATTTTTAATGCATATAAAGTGACTTACTTGAACACATATTTTCATAGTTTCTAATAACTGTAAAACTGACATAGCATCATAATGAGGAAACATTGTTTGAAAATCATTCGCTTGATATGATCCAAACATTCTTGTTTGATTAATTAAAAAGTCAACAGAAAATAGTGTACCAATAATATTTGTACCAAACCAACTAGGGGAAATAACTACTAAATCTGTATGCAATTCTGATTTTAGATACAGTATCTATATGAACACAATCAATTAATAAAATATCAAAATAATTTTTAAAAAATTTTACTTCGCCCAAATTTTGAAGTTGACGAAGAAGTATACTTAGGTAATGAGTTGTAGCTAATGGGTTCACTTCAAGATGAATAGTATCACAAAATGTTTTCCATGATAATACTGGAAAAGGATGGGCTATTTTTCTAAGTTTAGGCAAAAAATATAGCACAGCTTCACAAAAACCATTCATTCTAGGAATTTCCTTTAAATAAAATATTAAATAGGGTAAATTAATTATTATATATTTAACAAAAAAATAAACAAATATTAATATATAAATTGAAAAAAGCATAATTTTTATAGATTAACTAGTTATGTTTATAACTCCAGAATTGCTGTTGATAATAATGTGGAACACACTTGAAATATAGAATGTGCTATTAACTTAAGTTTAAAACTTGTTTAAGCTTTTTTTTTTTGCGATTAATTAGATTGTGCAAATTAAAAAAATTATTTAAACCTCAAAATTTGTAAATGAAAACAGAGCATTATCATATTTTTTTCTAAGTTCATCCAACAAACTATAACCTTCATGAGTAAATGAGAATAATTTGTTGAGTTTGCTTATACTATTGATACCACCAATTACACTATGTTTCTTTTTGAGTTCCTAACAAAAAATTTAAAATACTACAGACACATGCTAAAATATTCTTTCATGGATTTAAGTTCATAATTTATCAATATTTTTTTTTTATTTTAAAGATCACTTCTTAAGTAGAAGTAATAAAAGTACTAGATTTATAACATTTTAAAATTAAGTTTAATATTGAATGTTACTTATAAGACTTATTTTTATTTTAGAAAACTTTTAACTTATCAACATGATAATAAACACAATCATATTAACAACACAGTTAACATTTGCTAAGAAAAATTATTAAATCTTGCAATACCTTCAAAACTATAATTATCATAGATTAAAATAGTAAGAAGTGGATGTTCAATTTTCAAATTAAACCAAACCAAACATCTAAGTTCTAAAATCTTAAAACTTAAAAATTTAAGGTGAACTTTTTATTGTAAATTGGTTAAAAAATAGAACTATAATCTCCCTGAATTTGTTGAAGAATGATATCAAAAAAGATTTGATTGAAAAATCATCAAATTACTGTTAATATGAAGTCCAATAAAAAATTTGATTGTGTGATCCTAATTCAATTTAAAAATTGAAAATTCGGTTCAATCTCAAAAATTTAAATCTATTACATCACTAATAGTAAATCGATTAATATAATAGGTATAACTAAATCTAGGTCCTTAGTAGACTCTTAATATAAAAAATAAAATAACTCAGTATAATACTAATAGTATCTTCTTTAAAGAGTAGTTTAAATATTTCTTAATTTAATTACCTCATATTAGATCATGTCTATTCATTATTCAGTAAAAAAATTTAAATTATTAGTAATAATAATAATTGTAATATAAAATTTTTATTACATTGTTCATTTGGTTTTTACAATCCCTGAGACCTTCTTTAAAACTCTTAATGCTATTTGAATCTACTTCAAAAATATCAAATAGAATAGTTTGGTCATAAATTTTAAAAATATGTTCATATTCCATTTTAACTTTTGCAATTAAATTTTTTTCAGATTGTTGACTAGTTTTTTTATCATTACTATAACTTGCTACTAATAATACTGGAACTAAATAATTTGAGAAACCATTTTTATCTATAACAATTTTACTACATTTAAAAATAATTTCATAATAATGAAAAAATAATTAATATATTTACTAATAAAATTTGGCACTGGAAGTCTAGCTTGAATAAAACTCAACCAAAATTGCACACTCCTCAGATTATTTTTGAATGAATTACTTTGGCTATAAACTATAACAATTATTTTATTGGGTGTGTTTTGTATAACATGATGATATAAGTTATAGTATGTATCTTCACCGGAAAAATCCCAGAATGTGCAATCACCAATACATGATAATGTTTCCTTAAAAGATAAAACATAAAAGTAAGATTATAAAAACTGCCTTATTATTAATAATTTAAAATTAAAAATAAAAATTATTTATAATATAAAAATAATTATTTTTAAAAATATTTAATAATTATGTAATATTTTTTTAGATAAATAATTTCTAAAACAAAATAATAATAATGAATAATATAATAATAATAATATTAATAAAAAGGTAAAAAATAATATTACTTTTTGTACTATTATTCCTTTAGTACTACCATTTTTATATTTAAGTGAAGAACTTGATGTATAATCAGTAAGACTTATATCATTTCCATTATTATTTTGAGCTTGAGACATAAATGATCCTGAAAAAATTATTAATATATAGTCTTTAAATTAATTAAATTTTTTAAATAAAAAACTTACGGTTATTATTAATTGTTCTCAAAGTACTACGTGATTTTCCAAGTAACATTGAAAATAGTCCAGATTTCAATAGTTTGATAATAGATGATTTACCAGTACCACTATTTCCAAAAAGTAGAATATTGGTATTTTCAATTACTTTATCACTCATTACAAGTTGTTGTATATAATTTTCCTTTGCATTATTCTATATAGAATAAAAATTTTCACTTAGTAGATTAATTAATAGTATTTATAATTAAAAATAATAGAGGTTTTAATTTGATTTTCTTCACAATTTCTTACATGATATTTATAACACCAAAATAAACAAGTAAATGTAGAATGCAATTGCCTAGAATAACAAATTTTTAGGGAACACACCCTGTATTAAAGTATACATCTATGAAAATTGACCCATTGAAAATTATTAATTAAGATAAAACTAAATAAATATTTTATTTAAAATATATCATCAAGTGTTTTCTTAAATGATAATTATAATCTTAAAAAAAAAATTAACTCAATTATTAAAGAATACTATTAAATTATTATTATTAATAAATACAAAGGGATAGAATACTATAAAAGTACAAAATTTTCCTCAAATTATTATATATTTAAACTTATTACTGATATAGTATTCTTAGAACTTCAAATGTCTATTATTAGTGCAACAACAGAATGGTTAGGTTGTTTTGTACTTAGGCAATTTTTGGTAACTTAACTTGATTTGTGTCTGCTTAGCAATAATGCAACAAAAAAAACTATAAAAAAGTACAACAATTAAATAAAAAATGGATAAGTTGAGGGGATATTAATTAATATCCCTTCAATTTATTCATTTTTCTAACTTATAAATATACTTATAATAGTAAACTTAATTAATAATTTTTTTTTCAAATATCATAATTTTACAATCGAGATGACATAAAAAAGGTACTTAGTCACAAAAACTATATTTTTCAGGAGAAGGAAAAAAGGTTTAAAAAACAAGCATACTTGTTTTTTGCTTTATTTATATTTTATACAACAATTTTTTTTCACAATATTATGATTTTTATTAACTACGTTTTTCATAAAAAAAAAAGAAAAGATAGATTTTTTTGTACTTGGTACCTTTTTGAGGCCTCAACTCTTAATACAAAATAAAAATTAAACTTACGGAATTTAGTTTACTGAGTATTGAAATGATTTCTTTTTGATTATTTTTTATGGCAGTAATTTCAGGTTTTATATTATCTACACTTCGTCTTTGAGGGTCACTTCCAGCTATACATAAATACCTTCATTTATTGCAAACATAGTCTATTAGGAAAATGAAGATTGAACTATACTTATTTATATTTTTAAGTAAAATTACCTAACAATTTCTACATGTCCATACTTGGATGCAATGTGAAGTGGATAAAGTCCTTTACTATTAGGAAATTCAAAATTGTATCCTAAATTAATAATAGTTTCAATAACTTTAAGTAAACCTTCTTGGGCTGCAATATGAATAACAGCATTGCCATCCTTTTAAAATTACAATATTATAATTGAAATATCAAATGATGGATAATTAATTAAAATTAAAAGATAATTTAATTTAATAAACTTTTTTCCATAAAAAATAATATGATTTAATGGTACATAGTGCAATAATTTTAATAATTTTTCCTATATTTTGAATTTTTTTAGAAAAAAATGTAAAATTTAATTATTACGTATTCAATCTTATACATTAAAAAAACTCTTTGAATCATGATAATTTTTAAGAGATAGACATGGACTTCGAAAAAAAATAGAAATTATAAGTTATTGCAAATGACTTTTCAATTTTTGTTACATTATTAATAGTATCCAAATTTTCTGGCATTTTATTGATTATACTTATGGCAATATCTTCTTTTTTCTCATAAATAGCCACAAATAAAGGTGTATTTAGATTATTATTCATTATTTCGATTGTTGTCATATCAAACTCAAGTAATTTTAAAACACAATCATAATATCCAAATTGACAAGCAATATGTAACGGAACATCACCATTCTAATGAGGTCATACAAAATATTTGTTTATAAGTATATTCAACATATTTAAACTAAAAAAATTGTGTTACATTATTTTTCTTCTTAGCTACTTTAGGTTCCTTTTTTAATAATAATTCAACAATTGATGAATGGCCATTACAACAAGCTAAATGTAAAGGAGTATTTCCATGTATGTCAGTAGAATTTACACAAGCTTCTTTGTTTAATAAAAGGTTAACTATATTGTGTAATCCATGCAAAGAAGCCAAATGTAATGCAGTTTGGTGTTCCTATAAATAATTCAGCGAAAAGTATTTAGTACATTCTTTTACTTATTTAGTTTTATGACACTTACATTATTCTTTGATAGAATTACTTCCTTATCAAAATGAATGATCAAATTATGGGTCCCATTGTCATCAAAACTATTTTCTAATAACTGTATCAGGGACATACTTGCAATAATTCAACATTAAAAATTCTCTTATTTACGTTTGAGAATATAATAAACAAACCAAAACATTATAATGATTATTCCCAAGTAAATAACATTAAATTTAACAAATCAATATATAGATTTTTTATTTTACATAGCTTATACTTAATTATAATTCATTATTTATCTACTAATTTTTTAAGGTTTCCCATTTAATTATATCTTTTTATCAATGTTATTTATATATAGTAGCTAATACATATTTCAGTTCACAGAAGCTATTTCAACTTTATTGGTGAAACTATTTACAGAAGTATATCAAACGGACTGAGTGCCGCGATCTACCCCACTCATTACTTTAAACATGTGTTAGTAATCATATCTATACATATTCTTAAAATCATATACGTAATATATATATATATATTTTATACTTGTGGTTATTCTTAAAGGAACTTTATTCAATTGACTAAGATTAATTTTTTTTAATTTAAGTAATTTACAGAAACTAATGGGTTACAAATTTTCTAAAAATGATATTTTCAAAACAAATATAAATTTTAGTGGAAAAGCTAACTACAAAATTAAAAATTTAACAATTGATAACCCTTTTGAAAGTGTTATCAGACTGGTACTTTCTTTATAGAACTCGCCTGGGTTTATTTAACTATTTTCGTACGACACAATTTTGATGTAAAATTTGCTAAATCTAAATATGCCAGGACAAATAGAGTGTGCAGTAATTATAATTAGAACAAATATTGGTTGTAAGTTAATTAAGTTGAGGACCCACAAATTATATTTAACCCAACGAAATTTTCGAAATTGAAAGAAGTATTAAATTGGCCCATTTTTCATGAGCACAATCTGGGTAAAATATAAAATGCCAAGTTTTTATATATCATAGTCCCCTAAAATTTTAGATTTTATTCATTTTAGCTTCGATGCGAAGCTGAGAAGGTATTAATTTTACTATGATGTGGTTTTTTTATCTATTTATTTATTTTTCTGTCTGTTACCACTTTTTCTCAGTTCTCACTGAACTGATTTCTTTCAACGATACGTCAAAAGATCACAAATCGTATCTAGTCGAAGACATTACCCTCAATAATTGAAAAATTTCCCTCGTTCCCCGTAAATGGAGGAAATCTCCAAAAAAATTACAAATTTAAAAATCGCTAATTTTTGTCATTTTTTCAATTTTTTTTACTTAAAACTGCCATAACTTTTTCAAAAATGAACAAATCAATATAATTTTTTTTAAAAAATGTATGGATCGATACAATTTTTTTATAAAAAATATTTTTTATATACCTCTTTTATTCGACATAATTTTTTTTTAAATCGGACCATTTCCCTTAATACAGAGTGGTTCAAAACTTTAAATGCATATAGGAAGTAGAACTTTTTCTACTTAATTTTTGAAAGTGTTCCGAAAATACTGACACTTTTATTTATATCTTAAATTTGTAGTATTCTGTAATTGTCATTAGGCGATAAGGTCCATCGATAAATAAAATCAGTGTGTGCTTGACCCTCCGCCGTGCTGGGCCGGAGCGTTAAGTGATCGATTGTTTTGTTAGTTTAATCGAATAATATTTAATTGTCATATTAATTAATTATAATTATATTTACAAAAAATACTTTTAATGTGTAGTTGTATAATTTTTGTTATTAATATTTTTCACTACAAATTAAAGCTTATGTAATATACTTTATTATGGAAAAAAATGTTCGGACCTTCTTTTGTTTTCATGGTGAAAACAGTCATCAAAGTTTATAAAAAAAATACGATTTTTGTAAAAAAATTCTTTTTTATATTTTTAACTTTATTATGCTATAACTTTTTGAAAAATGTATGGATAAATACAATTTTTTATGGGAAATAATATTTATATTCGTCTTTCATTCGACATACTTTTTTTTTAAATAACACCATTTCCCTTTATATATTTACATATTATAAATATATATAGATATTTATTTATTCATATATTACACTTATAAATCATAAAACTTGTAATCAGGATATAAATAAGGAAATAGGAGATCATGTAGCTTTTGGAATAATCCATCATTTTTTTAAAATTAAACGTTATCAACAGATTTGCATCGAAACGTTTTTTTATGATAGTGATTTTAATTACTGTCAGACATCTTTATACTTGACCCAATTATGCCACATCCCTACTGTGTAGCGAGCCCACTATGCTGGGTTTTTTTACAATTCTTCGTAAATAATTTACAGTTATTCACAAGTTTTCTGCAATCGTAAACAAACCTTTTACATGCTTCATTTAATAAAAAAAATATATAAAATGCATGATTTCATATAGGTGACATATTTTTATATAAATTTTTATAATAATAATTTTTCTGTTGTATATCTCAAGGCACAATTATATACATACATTAAAGGCTGAGTGCAATAAATTATAATAACACAAATTATTACAGAATATTTTATAAAGCACTACAAAAATATAATATAATATTTGTCCCTCTTAGCCCCCTGTCGAGAGGTAATTCTGGTTACTCATACTTAAATACTAATGCCTTACTTAACTAATTAAAATCAAGTCAATATTTAAAAATCATGAACTAAATACATAAACTATACTATCCAAATGTGTTGTGAATAATAATTTTACAGGTAAAGCGAAAGTGACGTAAGTCAATTTTTATAATTTTTTAAGAGAATTGTTTGAAATATTTTAATCACATAAAAACTAATATAAATGTAGATTTAGAAAATTTAATAATATTGAATTATAACTCAATTTTATTCTTATTGTTGATACCAAAGAAAGAGACAAGTTTAAAATTACTAGTCAAACTTCTTTTACCCAAAAATTGATTTAAACCATTTTTATTTTAACTAACACAATTATATAGAATTTTTTACAAGAGATGAAATAGTTTTATTGATCAAAACATCCTTAAATTATATTGGCGCTTTAAGTAGCCCCTAATGTAGGCATGCTACTGAGTACAACTAACAAGAAATGTAGGTAAGTAATATTTTGGTGCCTTTTCTTTACCTTTTTTTTATTTATAATCTAGAAATTAATACATATATTAAAAAAAGGATTTCAAATAATAAAATGCTAATTTTCAAATTATTGAGTTAAGTGAGATCCCTTTATTGATGTTCACTTTGAAGTTTCTCAAAGGTCAAGTTACTTCACAATAAAATAATTAATCAAACCCTATTATTAATTTTTTACTCGCAATGAGTAAAAAAATTGTTATGTGTAATAATAATTAGGAAGTTATAGACACGGAAGAAAAATTTTATTTCAGTATAACTATAGATTTTCTATAGTAAACATTTTTAATGACATATTATTTAAAGACAAATATTATCTCAAACATCATACTAAAGAATATCAGTTACCATCATAAATGAAGTTAAGGGATGAAGTTATTTAAAAGTTTTCAAAATAAATAAGTAGATTTAATTCATCTATACACTAATAACTAATACAAATATAAAATATGTAAAAACAATTTATTAAATGTTCTAAATAACAAAATATAACAACAATATAAAAAAAAACATATTTGTTAAATGGTTAATAGGCAACTGTGTTAAGTGCATTAAAGAAATTGCTAATGAAATATACTAAAAATATAAATTAAGGATCTACTTATTTTTGAACGATATTTATAAAAAAAAAATAGTTTAACTTAACACGATTACTTATTTTTTTAATCTATACAATAATTTTACTTAAAAATATAATAAATAAGCTAAAATAAGTTTAATACATAGGATTACAATATTGTACTGTACTTAACTAAATAAAAATCACAAACATAATACTGCGATTATTAATAATTTGGTGTAAAAAATAGCATATAAAATTTTATAAAATAAAATCTTAATTTCTTAAAGAAATATGAAAAACTTTGGTATTACATTAATTAAATTTAATACTGTTATAAAAAAATTGTCGTGTTCAATGAAAATAAAATAATTTGTTATTATAATCAAAAAGAGTGCACAATATGTTATATATACAATACAAACATTTAATAGTATTAAGCAATTTGCCTAAATGATAATATAGTGCCATACAAGTATTATTGGTAAATTAATTTTTAGATTCTTAACAAATGAATGAATGTGGGTTCTTTAAAAATATAGAAACTTAATAGTTTTTAAATTTTAAGATGTTATGAAAATAAAAAATGTCTGATTATTTTAACTTAACAACTTAAAACTATGAGATGCTTAAATAGACTTTTTTTTTTTTTAATATCGCATTTAGAGTTTTATTATAGATCAATATTAATACTTTAAGAACTTGTGATTTTAAGTTTAAAAATATGACAAGGCAGATCAAAAATAATTTAAAAAAATACAAATAACTATAAAAACATACAGTTTAATATTAAATGATCAACTAATTTAATAGTATAAAATAAAATTCAAATTTAATAGTTTATATTGTAAACATATAAACTAAAATCACATTTTGCTTTAATAAATGAAAGTTAACATAATACTAAAATATCAAACATTAAATAATATTTATAGTTAATGATTATTGAATAAAACATTCATAGTAACTTCTGTATAAATTATTAATATGAGTTCCAATTGTGTGTAGACCACAATATAGCAAATGTGGTTCCCATTACATTAGCTAAATCATTGCAATGAGACAAGTACCTTTTGAGTAAACTTCTATAACCATGACCAATACTGACTATTGTATTTCCCTCACTAGAAGCTGCTATATATGTTACTTCTTGTTCATATGGTCTAAAAATAGTAATGGGTCGAGCAGTTTCTTGTTCAATAACAACAATACATCCCCAAGCTGTACCTAAGTACAGTTCATCGCCAGTTGCACATACACTAGTAATCTACAAAATTTACATTATGATTTTGAAAAATATTAAAAATTGTTTTAATAAACTAGTATACCTGACATTTTCCTGGGCTTAATCGTTCTTCTATGCTGATTGATTTTAAACTCTCTGAACATGGAATAAGTTTTGAGCAATCGAGTTTGTTTACAATTTGCTTAGTCTTTACATTCCATTGATAAATTATGCAACCTGTACAAAAGTTATATTATAATAACTATATCATAATTTTTAGAATATTTAATATAATTTGTCATTATTACAAAGTTAATAAAATTTAAAAAAATATTAAATTATACTAACCTGGATGCACATATGACCAAACTAAACTATGATTAGAAGAATAACTTAATGACATAACTTGAACTTCTAGACTTTTACATTTAAAGTGCTCTAAGACTTCATAGTTAATTGCAACATTTTGTTTAATGGTATAAACTGATATTTGACCATGATTTTCACCACACCATAATTCACAGTTTCTAAAAAAGTTATTTCTTCAATAATATTACAAAAAAAATTTTTTTTATACTTACTTGTTGCTATTAACAGCAATAAAACAAAATAAAACTGTTGAACTACCAAGTTCACTCATAACAAAACTTCCTTCGCCCATAGTTGGAGCAAGAGGAGACATATCATTTCTAACAAGAAATATTCTACCATTTTCTAAACCGATTGCTATCCTATGTCTGTCTTTTAATATAGTTATACATTTTACTGCTACTTTCTGATCGTCATTTATAAGTTTATAGCTAAAAATGTGCTTGCAGTCATTGCTCCTATAAAATAAAATTTAAATAATTTGAATCTTCATAAAATTTGATTTAAGATATATTACGAATAAGCATGAATTTGTCCTTCAGTATCACCTAACCAAATACTAAATTCATCAATTGTACATAAAACTGTCACTTTGTGTGTAATGGTTTTGCTTCTATAATGAAACCAATTTGTATTGCTAAATGCTAAACGATCCAATTTATCATTAATACAAGGTAACCAGATTTCATCACCAGTTACTTCATCATCTTCACCTATTAAATATAATTAAATCAACAGTATTCATATAAGTAATGAGAAAGAATTCATTCCAAAAATAATGGATTTCTGGAACAAGACTTTTTTTTAAAAACACAGTTAAAATTGTTACCTTTAAAAATTAAGGAATGAGAAAAGTGAAAGAATATATTTTTATAAGGAATACAAATAAAATCTACAGTTCTTTTATATTTTAGTGTTACTAATTTTTTTTCCTTGTTTCTAGATGTTATAAATAAAAATGTACTTTTACATTTTTTATTAACAATATTTTTGCATTGAAATGACGACCCCAATTATACATCTGTAATATGTCTCCATTATTATGTCTACATTTTATAATTTGAATATTAATAAAGTTTTCAATGATACTATAAATTAATATACTAAAAACATAATATCTAGAAGCACAGAATCATAGGTGTAATCTGGGAGTCCAGAGAAGTTTTAGCCCCACTAATTATAAAAAAAAATATTTTTCTAACAAAAAGAGAAATAAGTATTTTTTCTAGAGAAACTATATCAGTAACGAGTTCTTTTTTAGAACTCATTCTCATTTTTCCTTAGAAAAAGGAACAAAGATTGGAATGATTTCTGTTTAAAAAGAAAATTTTTTAACACTGATTCATATTAAATTATTATAACTACAAATATCTTGTAAAAGTAAGTACTTAAAAATTACATTACTTCATGTCAAATACATTAAGCAAATGATATTTAGACAGATATAACATTGAATGATAAAAAAAATTAGATTCTAAAATGTAAGAGTTAAATATTTTAATTAAAAAAAAAAAAAAAGATTTTTTATTATTATAAAAACTTATTAAAATAATAAATTTAGTTTAAAATTGGTACTTCAAATATTGAAGCAAAGCTATAATTCTTCTTCTGTCAACTTTTTTTCACTAAATATCTTTTTATTCTTTAAAACATGTTTAATATATTAAAGAAAAAAATTTACTAGGTTGATATTTTAATAGAATATTCTACTCCACTTACTTTTCTAAGAATAAAATATTATAAAAAATGTATGTACACAACACATAAATTGAATAAAAAGACTAAAATTTTTATTATAATATCTGCTATAAAAATTAAGTATTATGATGGTGTCACGTTACTATTATTGTGAGAATTTATTGTAATAAAATACAGACAGTACATCCGTTTCCTGAGACTAATGAATTAACAATTAATATTTATTGCTAAATTGGCAATAGTCCAAATTATTATAAAAATCCAAAAGACCTGGCCATCTTGGTCAGTCGACTTCAGTGCCTTGTGTTATTCATCAGTCTCAGTCCTCTTACCTTTTATTTGTGTTACGACAGTATAAATATATATATAGCTTCAATGAATATTTACTTACTCAGTGGTAATGGCACCATAGTACAAGAAATTACATCTGCTGAATGATTTAAAGAAATAACATCATATAAATGAGTAAATTCTGGAGCAGACACTATAGAAACAATTTGACTAGCTGATGGTCGATCTTTTGGACTTTGTGACCAACATACAGCCATTAAATCCAACAAATAGCTTGGATAAGATGTTTCCTATAAATAAAAATGAAGACAAAATTAATTAAATCAAAAATGACAGTTAATATATAATTTTTTTGTAAAACATACTCTAAATGTTAAAGCTGGTCTATGTCCTTCTAAAATACTTTCTTTTACGGATTCATGGTTTTCAAATGGTTGATGCATTGTCAATAGTTCATAAATAAACATACCAAATGAAAAACAATCTACTTTTTCAGTATATTCTTCTTCTCCATTATATTTTATTATTTCAGGAGCCATGAAACCTTCTGTGCCACCAAAACCTTTAGTACCAGATGGAAGTGATAAACGACTTATGCCTAAGTAAATAGGTTAAATCATATTTTAAAATGTTATATAAACATTAATAAGCTTAAATTTTACCATAATCTGCCATTTTTATATGGGTAGTAACTGTGTAAGGATCTTGTAGAGGAACTGGTATAGACCAAACTAGTACATTTTCACTTTTTAAATCTCTGTAAATAATTCGTAATTGGTGTAAATATTCCAAAGCTTTTGCTGATTGAAATAAAATTTGTTGCATTATATGAGGGTCAAGCTTTGTGCCTGATCTTCGATAATTTCTTAAAATTTGGTCTAAAGCTCCACAAGGTGCTAAATCAAGTATAAGTGCTAAAGGTTTTGTACAAACGCCAAGTAATGGAACAATATTAGAATGTTTAAGATTTAACATAATGTTTAATTCTTGTCTAGCACTACAGTAAGATTTACAAGTATATTGTAATGGATCACGGTCCCATTTTGCTAGGGCACCCTGAAATTAAAAAAAATACAATTTAATAAACTTTAAAATTTCAAACAGTATGTTTAAATTTCCTCTAAGTATTTTTTCATCAATTAAAATAGGAAAAAAAAGTTGTATTGTAGATTACACATTAGATTTAGATTATACTATACATTTACATTTAAAGCTCTAAAACAGTAACAATTGAAGTTAACTAGTTTTAGTTTTTAAAGTATTAATATTTTAATTGAATGATATAGGTTCAATGTCAAACTTAATAAAAACTCATAAAATAACTTACAAAAAAAAAAGGTCAATAAAGTTAATATTTAACATAAAATATAATACAAATTTTGAATACTTCTAGTTAAACTATTTTTTATATATTTATCCACTTCAATTCACACATTATTATACATTTTATATTTATAATAATTAGTATATTGCAATTTAAACTTACTTTATAAGCAATAATTGCTGATTGATTAGCATTAGGTCCAGGTGCTACTGGTTGAAGCATTTTAATTGCAATTTGCATGCTTTCTCCGGGACGTTTTCCTTTGCATACTCCACGAAACACAAATCCAAAAGCACCACGCCCTAATAGTTTACCTCTAATTATATCTTCATCTTTAATAACTAATTCTTCTCCTAAATCTAAAAATACCTATAAAATTTTAAGTGTTAGAAGATTTTACTATCAATTAGAAATATTTAGAATATATCATCTTTTGTTTTATATTTGTTTAATATTTATATGGAACCAATAGTTACAATAATAGGAAAGAAACTTCAATATTGTATTTAAATATTTTTGTTAATATAAACAAAATTATGTCCATAAATAAATAAATTAAGATTTGGAGTAAGTTGATAGATATTTAACCTAAAAATTGTATAAAAAGAAAAGTAATAGAACATTAGTTTTAATAAATTAGATTGAAATATAACTTTGAAATTTAAATTTTTTGATTAAAAATATACTCAATACTAAATTAATTATTTGAATTAAAATTGAACAGATATAATAATTAATAAAGCTATCTTACTGTGTCTGGAGCTACTTGTGCTAATGGGAAATCTCCATGTTTGGGACATACTATACAAAGTTTGTCATTTGATGCTGCTGCCAAAATGCAATCTTCTACAGTCCACCCAAAATGAATTTCACATTCAATCTGTTCATCCAATACCAATGGACTTCCTTCAACTGACACTTTTCTACTAGATTGAGGACTATCATGACCAACACCACTATCACCTCCTTCTGAACCATTATAACTCTCTTGCGATTTTCGAACTAAACTTTTGCTATCTAATTCTTTTTTTAAAAATTCTTTTGATAAACTAGACTTATTATTATTAAAGCTATTATCATTTTTAATGTCTTTTAGGAAGGGAGTTTTAACTTCTAGATTTCCAATTAAACATCTTGGACAAGGAACTAATCTAGTAACTAAGCATTTTCCTTCAGATGTATGAACAAACCTAGTACCAAGAGTAGGATACCAGTCTTCTAACAAAACATCTATATGATCAACTACAAGAGCTAAAAATTTTGCAGCTTGAACTGGTGATGGATCTAAAACAATTGCCCTAAACCCTATGTCCTCATTAGCTTTGTTTTGTATTGATTTTCTTATTATAACTGTGTCCAGTGGCAAGTAAGCTTCAAGAATTGATGATGTTTTTATTGGTATATCATACCATGCATTTTCTTGAAACAACTGAAATCTTAAATTCTTATAATTAATAGGAAAATTTTTTTGCAAAACTTCTTTCATTCGAAATAAAGTAATTTTATTGGCAAACTTCAATTCAATTCCAGTTTGCCAAAGTACCCAATCAAAGTTGGATTGAAAATCAGTACTAAAAGAGTCATCACCATTGACTTCAGTTGGAGTAAAAAAATTACGAATAACTTCAATAATTGCATCATCACCAAGCATTCGAGTAATTAATCGAGACCAAAACCCAGATGGGAAATATGACATAAGTAATAAACGTCGAACTGAAACTTCTGGATCAGATCGACTAGTTAAATTTTCACCTACATCTGTTAAATCCAATGTTGGTTGGCTTAAAGTTCTAAGCTTACGAGATTTTGATTTGATGGGTACTTTTATTGCAACATATTGTGCTCTTTGACCAATCATATCTTCTTCAGAAGGCAATAATGATGGTATTAGTAATGATCTACTATCCCATGTTAAAGCTACTTCAAATTTATTAAGTAAATTAACAATATATTCTCTAGTGCATGTTGATGATTTTAATACTATTTTAAGATCATCAAGTTTCATAATACCAGAGCGAGCAAAAGGATTAATTTCTCTAATTGTAACAACATGAGCAAGCATATCACACAGCCATTGTGGATCTAAGAAGTACAGATCTTTTAAAGTTGCATCATCATAATGCAACAATACACCTAAAATAAAAAATATGCTAAAATAACAATAATTACTAATTTTAAGACTAATAATGCAACAAACCATTTTCATGTAAAAATAAAATTGCTTGATTTAATTCAGCAATATCTCTAAACGATTTATGAAATCTAGAAATCATTTCTGCATTGACTGCAGTTCTAAATTGATCAAGATTTAATACAGGATCAAGACCTGATAATCGCCTTTCATTAGCTATATGAATTATAATATCTTCTAAAGCTAAGTATGTTGCTGGAACTTTTTGTTCTAACATAAGTTCTTTACTTCCTGTTTCACAAAAAAAAATTTAATAGATTTAATTTATTAAAAATAAGTATAAATTTACCAGGTGATTTTAAACTAAAAACTGTATCATAAATTATATTACACAACAGCTTAATGTTGTGTTTTGTTTTGCAACTGATTTCTATTGTATCCAAAACTCGAGGTAATCCATATTTTTCAGCATCTACTATGTTAATAAATTTTTCTCTAATCATTTGTTGTAGAATTTCTGAGTTATAATCTGGATTATTGGTGTTCATTATGTCATAATGTGTACCAACAATAATAACTGGGGAATTGGGAGCTCGAGCCTATAAAAATAAAATAGATTTTACATTAAAATACAAAAACTAAATATATAACAAATAAATGTAAACAAAATTTAACAACACTTTTATTTGAATGTGATAAAAGCTTTCTTGGATTGTTGTACTATTTAGAATACATACAAATATATCCACATCTTCAGTTTTAAGCTGACGTTTCTAACTCTGCAAAGAGTTTGAAATTAAAGATATGAATATATCTGTAAATATTTTAAATAAAACTAAAGATGTTCCAGATGCACAGCTTATGAGAAAATCAAATACCTGTGCTCCTTTTTAAGACTTGGCTTTACCTGGTACTTGGATTGTACATTTGGAAAACAATTTAGTTATGTGATACTACAGTACCAGTCATAATAATACTAACCAAATGTTTATACTATATACATTTAGATAAATTAGGTATAATTTAACATGAAAATATAATTAAAGTATTTCTTTACTTGTATATTAACTAGCCACTGTAAGATTTCTGCAATTCCTCGATGACCATCAGGAATTTTCCAAACAACTATGTATAAACTTCTTTTAGATAAAAAATACTGATGAGTCGCATAATATTCATTTTGACCACCAAAGTCCCAAGTTCTGAACATAACTGGACCATATTGGGAATTACCTCTAATTTTTTTTTCATACACCCAATCACTAATATCAACACCTACTGTAGAAATATTTGTTCCTTTGCTTGTTTTTTGATTTATGCTTTTGTTACCCATTCGTTTTGCCCAGTGCTATATGACAAGATATTATTACACTATAAATTGTGCCATAATAAATTAACCAATAATATTAAGTCAGGAATTATTTCTTAACTAAGTTAATTAATGAATAATCTAATTAATGAAAAATAATAATTTAAATAAATTTAAAGAATCTATTCTATAAATTATAATTTTTAGTATAGTATCATTTTATTTCATAGTAAAAAAAACCCAACACAAAGGGTCGACGCACAGTTGGATCACGTATAATGATATCTGACAGTGATTAAAATCACTATCCAAAAAAACGCTTTGATACAAATCTTTAGATAACGTTTAATTTTAAAAAAATTATGGATTATTCCAAAAGCTACATGATCTACGTGTGATCTGCTATTTCCTTATTAATATCCTGATTAAGATAAAGTTTGTTGAATGATAAAGGGATTTAAATATTATTTCTCATAAAAAAATTGTGTTGATCCATACACTTTTCAATAAGTTGTAGCATTATAAAGTTAAAAATGTAAAAAATAAAATAGAGTATTTTCACACAAAAATAGCATTTGATAGCCATTTTCCCGTGAAGACAAAATAAAGTCCGAAATTTTTTTTTTTCATAATAAAATACATTACATTAGCTTTAATTTAAGATATATATAAAAGTGTCAGTTATTCCGAAACACTTTAAAAACTTAAGTTGAAAAAGTTAATCTTTTGTGAAAAAGTTGTCATTTTGAATACCCCTCTATGGGCAGGTAAAGGGTTAAATTTATAAAAAAAAATATACCAAATGATAGGTAAGAACATCAAGCATCTTAAAAAAAAAATTTTATGGATTTGGTTATTTTTAAAAAAGTTATGGCAGTTTTAAGTAAAAAAATTTTTAAAAATGATGAAAATTAGCGATTTTTAAATTTGTAATTTTTTGGAGCTTTCCCCCATTTACGGGGAATGAGGGAAATTTTTTTCAATTTTTGAGGGTAATGTCTTCGATTAAATACAATTTGTGATCTTTTGACGTATCGTTGAAAGAAATCAGTTAGGTGAGTGCTGAGAAAAAGTGGTAACAGACACAAAAAAAAAACACATCATAGTAAAACTAATACCTTCTCAGCTTCACATTAAAGCTAAAAGGAGCTAATGTTATAATTATGAGAATAAAACTATACAAAAGTGTAATCTAATTAATTTAAGAAAATGTTAAGCTTAGTGTTTTTACACATTTAAAATATAAAATTATACAGCTTTTTTGCTCCTATTATTAAGTAAACTATTTTCTTAAAACTTACATCTACTGGTTTCTTTTTGTAGCTTCCAGTGCCTTCTTGTCTTAGTTGGTTTAATAATGATGTTTTACCAATTCCTTGAACACCCACAATCATGAGCTTCATGCGTGCATAGGGTTTAGCATCTTCAAGTACTGATTTTAAGTAACCTATTACATCCATAGTCTTATATTTATTTGAATCGATCATGGTCTTTAATGGTTCTTGTAGGTTACAACCTCTAGTATTGAGATTCCATAGACGTGATAATAATCCCATTTGTGAAGGTAACTCAACAATATCTGTACAAACCTTAGTTAATTTAATATAATTAAAATAGGTTATACAATGATGTATTTACCCTTATTTCCACTTATATTAAATACTGACAAATTTATAAGTTCATTTATGTTTGATGGAATTTCTTTTAATTGATTGTTACTTAGATCTAACATACTAAGGTTAGGAAAAATTAATTTTGATCTGGAATAGCCCAATGTTGATGCATCCTAAAAAAAAGTAAAATTTTTACTTTTTACTTTTAAAATTTTAATATGAATATATTTTTAATTCTAAGTTTTTATATATGTAATTAAAAAAAAAGTACTTAAGGTGCCCAAAAATGAATAAGACTAAAATTCTTAATTATCTGGGATAAAATAAATGTAACCTTTTTTTTAAAGTAACATCTTTAATTTAAAACATTGGTTTTACCTTTCTTTCCTCTTCTGATACACATCTAAAAAATATTTATATGGTATCTCTAAATTACAAATTAAACCTCAATATTCAATAAAATATGATTGCTCAGAGAAATTTTTAAATTTCCAGAGAATAGCTAAAAGGTATAATTTTGATATTAAGTGAATTTAGGAGGGTGGCTGGAGCATATTATTTAAAAATACTGTTGTGAGAATGACTCAATATGGACAGTGGTATATTTAAAATTTAATAAGTTTACCTAAAATGATTTATGTTAATGTTGCAATTACTTTTAACCAAGGTACTTTAATCTACTTGTGATTAATAGTGTAATATAATATAAATTGTGTTATTTGTTCATCAAATCTAAAGTGTATACATCTATTTAATTTTAAACTTATTCGGTATAAATTAATTACCATATTATTAGGAAGACTCATTATGTTTTGGACTCTATCAGATTTCAAAATTAGCATTTTTTATTAATTAAACTAATTATATAAATGTTAAATTATACTTGAAATTTGTTTATAGATCATGTATAATTAAACTAATTTATATTGTAAAATAAGTAAGTAGAAAAAATACCCAATCATCTAATTCATCAGCAGAATCATTGGAATTTGTAAAGTTACCATCATCATCAGTTGATAATTGTATTCTTTTAAGGCAATTATCAGCTAACATAAGGGTTCTCAAATTTTCAAGTCTTAAATGTCTTCTATGAGAGCAAACTTTATTTAAAATATTAGCTCGTAATGACATTCTTCGGCCTGTAATCACATTTACATTTTATTAAATAAAATTTAGAAATATATATACATAGTGATCATTAAATTAGACTTACACAAAATTTTTAAAAATATATTATTTTTTTTTTCGAAAATGAATAGTATCCTAAATTTAAACTAGAGGTGTTTTTTTTTTAATTTCTGGGCTTCTATTGTTCTCATTGTTTGTAACGATTGACCTGTTTCTTTACTTACTGAACACTATATATATTTCTATTAAAAAACTAATTTTATAATATTTTAAGGGGATAGAACTAAATTTTCTTCTAGAAATTGTAGAATGTAGGATACTAATCATTACTGAAAAGAAAAAAAATAATATTATATTTTATTTTTTTTTTAAATTTTGTATGAGTCTAGTTAAACAATCACTTTTTATAGACATAAAAAATTGTTTTACTGACTTGTACGAATTTTTGATGGGATAGTAGACTTAGGAACTTGTCCTGTTTCTAGTCTATAACATAGAATGTTTTCTTCATCTGAAGAGGTTTCTTCTAAGTTAACTTGAGGTAAACTTGGCCATACACATATTTTATTATGACTTAAATCAAGCTGTTTTAATGAGTTCGGATACGATGTTACATAGCTCATAGTTCTTAAGCTTCATATGAAAAATTAAATTAACAGTTAAATATACCATTTTAGAATCCCCAACATTTCTTAATGGATTTGGATTTTCAAAGTGAAAATAAGTATCTTATTCTTAATAGATCACCCTGTATTTTTGTATAAACTACAGATAAAATAACTTTATAAGTAATCATAATGAGCAGAAATTTATTTATAGGGAGATATTTAAGGGTAAGTTCTCCAAAATTTAACTGCAGACATAATTTTTACTCAAAATAGTATCTATGAAATAAGATCATTAAAAAAAAATGTTGTTATTCGTTCTTCTTTTAAAAAATCCTACATATGTCTTAAAGACAGTAACAGAATTAAAAAAAACTTTTTTTATTTTCACAAATCATAAAATTGATAATCCCTAATTATTTTTTGGGTTTCACTAGATATACACTTTATAACTTTTTATTCTTATTTTCTTAGACAAAAATTCATTACCAATTATAAGACATGTTTAGTCGTGTTAAATTGACCGCTAAACATGATAAAACTGGTGGAATAGAACTGAATTGATTATGCGAAAGATTCAATGTTGATAATTGAGAGCTATTTGATTTTACTTCTGTTTCATCAGCTCTAATAATTTGTTCCATAATTTCAACTGAACGATTCCAAACATTATGATGAACTAATAAGACATTTCTATTGAACATTTTTTTTATTAAGTATTATGGTAATATAAGTATTTCTTATATTTAAATACATACTCATTTTCAATATCTACTGCATCCGTAATCTTAACTTCATAAGTTTTATCTAATAAAGGAACTCTACCAACTGATCTATCACGTAAGCTTTTAGCTTCTTGTTCTGATTGAGCAAAAGGAAGTTCTTTTATTAAATTGAATGATATATTAAAATCTTTAAGTTTAGGTGCTTGCCACATTTGAAAAGGTACAGACTGTAGTTTATTATTTGATACATCTAATGTAGTTAATGAAGGTAATCTAAATAAATCTTCTGGGATCTTATCTAGTCTATTATCCTATTTTTACAAAAATAAAAGTAAATAAATAAGTAACAATAATAAATACTAAACAACATTCAATAATTCTAAGTTGTGCATACTTGCAAGTATAGTTCTTCTAAAACACTAGCAGTATAGACAGATTTATAAAACCTGGAAATTTTTTTAGTTGTAGGAGAAGTTACATGTCCATAATTACTACTATTTGGCAATTTTTCGATTTTGTTTTGAGCCAAATTCAAATATCTCAGACTTGGCAATTGAAATATAATAATAGGTACTTGTGTAAGTGAGTTATTAGATATATCTAGCCGTGTAATAGCGAATAAAACAATCTCTTTACTTCTTGGATTCATTTTTAATTTTGGATTAATATGAAGGGCTGCATCTATCTATATAAATATATATAAAAAAATTCTATAAGTCACAAGAAAACTATTAATTTGTATAAGTTCAATTTAACAAAATTTCGAAATTATTACAAGGAAGAAACTTTGATGATGGGATAGGTGTCTTATATAGAACTTGCCAATATCTCTTAAACTAATGGAAGCACTGATTATAAGTCATGATAAATATTAATTTATGTGTAATTACCAGTTATATTAAGAAGTCAAAATAGTTAACCACATCAAAAGTAATAATAAAGCTTTATATCTTATCAATGATATTATTAATTTTATATTTACATTTTTATTTAATTGAAAAAACTAAATAATGTAGTTTTTACATTGGAAATATATATAGTCATTTAAGATGCAAAAACTTATATAACATTTTATTTTGACAAATCGAGTTAACACCAATATTAGTTAAAAATTACGAGGGAGATCAATTGGTCATTTAATAAAAACAATAAAAAAAAACAACAGTTGTTTGTCAAAAATGTGAAAATCTTAACAGCTGCTAACTAAAATATACAAGTAATAAACCAGTTTTGGATCTCCTGAAATGTTGAAAAAGTAAGATATGAGGTGTATCGTTAATTACAAAATATAGATCAATATAATAATATCAAAAATAATTAAAATAAATCAAATTGTATATTTAAAAGTAATTGTTAATGAAAACTACCATTCACACAGCACATTTCGCTTAAATATCATTCAATATAATTTTTTTTTTTAAATTTGAAAACTTCAAATATTAAAATCAGCCTAATTTTGTCATATGAATAAACCCACCAGGTACTTTTTCAATATTGAATGACCCGATCCACCACTGGCTACAAGGTGTTACTTATAAAAAATTCTAATTTTCAAGTACAAGGGAATGAAAAATGATATATCAATTTTTAAATAGATAAATTTACATGTTAATTTTTTTTTCTTGTATAATTTCACTATAGAAGTATATTTTCTTCTAAATATTGTCAATAAATTAAAGTTATAAAAAGGTTTTGATGAAGTTTTTGAAACTCAAAATAATATTCTAATATAATACTTATTGAATTTATAAAACCTTACCAGCCATTGTGATTTTATGTTATCAAGTTTACACCGTTGACTATGCCAATTAATCATAACTGGAGTACTAGGAAATATATTACTATATGTTAAACTTGATAAACTACCAAATTGTGAGGAAATATTGTCAGTCATGGCTTTTTTATTTATTTTATGTTCAGGATCAGCAAATGCTTTAGTACCAAGCAATGTGGTAATCAAAAATTGATTCTTAATTTCCATTGAAGCTGTAAGTGCTTTGCAATCATCATCCCTAGCACCATGTTTAAGAAGATTCTCAACAATACCAGCATCCCCTTTTTTACAGGCTAATGTTAAAGCAGTACATCCAGCTTCACGAATATCATCTTCATTTTGCTTAAATATTAATTTAATTTTTTAAGTATGATATAATATAGTGTCAAATATTATTAGCTTTGAATGGATTAAAAAAAATAAAAAATACTTTAAATTCAATAGATGTTTGTAAAGTTGGTAAATTAGGATCTGCACCAGCTTCAAGTAATGCATCAACAATTTCTTTGTAACTATTGCGTACAGCAACATGAAGGGCTGTTTCTGGGGCTTCTTCATTACAATACACATTAATTTCTATGGGTTTTAAGTATTTTTCATTTTCCATATCTTTATTTTGGTTTCCTCTAAGACGGGAAACAATTGATTGAATACCTTCTGATATACGGTTTCTTTTAGATAAATCATTAATAGATTCTTTAGAAGAGGATCCATCAGTACCATTTACCTGTAACAAAATATCATAATAAGAATAAATATTGTATACTTAATTGAAGCAACAGAACGAAAATATTACTTAGAAAAAATATAAGAAATTTGTACAACACATATTTATAAAAAAATAAAAATATATCCACTATTAAGTTTTGTACTTAAATTATTATTAATTCATGGTTGCCACAAATTACCATATAATATTCAATTTTGTCAAATTATATGACTTTTTTTAAATTTTCCAGTCAGTTTTTAAAAAAGTTCCATACCTCACTTAATAGGTATAATAGTGTATTATTTATGCAAAGGTGTGTGATAATATCAACTCCTTTAATATTTTTATTTGAATAGGCACAAATTAGAGGTTTAGCTCTCAAAAATTTTGAAAATTAACTCAGATAATAGTTTAAATATATGATAGATTTAATCAATTTTTAAAAATCCCAAGCAAAATGAGTAAATTACCAGACATTTCCATTATTTCCCTAACCATTTTAAAATCTTCTGACTTTTTCATATTTTCTAGGGTTTTCAGACTAGTGGCAACTGTTTAATTTATCCAATCATTAATATTTTATGTAAGTTGGATATTTAAATTATTCTCACTTTAGTTGCTTTGACTTGATAATTCAATAACACTTCTACTATTTTTACATTTCCTAATAGACATGCCAAGTATAGCACAGTTTGACCATTGACATCTTTGGCATTAATATCAAAAGGAACTTCATATTCCCAATCATTTTTCCTTTAAACATTGAATTTATTAATACATTAAATTTAATGATATTACTTTAAAAAAATGATACTACATTTAAATTTTGACTCACTTAAGTTTTATTAAATAATTAGATGGATAGGGATATTTTAATAGAAGATCTAAGACCTGAATATTTCCATTTATACATGCTGCATGAATAGGCAACCATTTTTCAACAGTACATTGACGAATAAGACTGGGAAAGTTCTAAAAATTGTTTAAACATTTGAATAAAAAAACAACTAATTGTAAACTTAGCTTATCCATTACTTTGAGTAATAATTCTACAATATCCTTTTTTCCTTTAAAAGCAACAATATATAGTGGAGAGTATCGAGTAATAGGATGTATTCTGCCATCTGCTTTGTTATCGATTAAAATTTTTACTAGATCTTTTCTACCCAATTCACAAGCACTTTAAAATGAAAAATAATAATAATTTCACATAAAATTTGTAATTTATTGAACAATTTAATTGTCTTTGATTCTACAAACCAATATAGTAGTGTAGAGCTTCCATTAGGCGACATATTAATAACAAACTCAGCACTACTACCAAGTTCTGACAAAATATGTTTAACCATTTGAATATCTCCTCTGCAGATTGCATCTCGTAAAGACATATGGATTTCATTTTGAGACTCTTCCCAAGCATCTAAAAAACAATAAAAAAAATATTAAAATTTCTTTTTGGCATATATAACATATTGCAATTTTGATTAAAAAACAACATGTGATAAAAGAAAATAAGACATGTTTTAAACAATAGTTTTTATAATAGTAAGTGTTATTTTTCTAATCCGTTGTTAACAATTTTCATTATTTATTCAAGAGATCTCATTATTATGTTTACATTTAGATTTTTAATTAAAAGTTAAATAAAGAATTAATGAAATAGAAGTAAGTAAAATAATAAGTACACATCTAAAAATGTGTATAAGTAAAATTAAATATATCAGTTATATTTTTATCGTACTTATATTAGACTACGGCCAAGGATATCATATTCTACTGTATTATCATAATTTTAATCCTTAAGATTTCAGAGGTAATCTATGAGGAACATGAGGGACATCCCCCTCATAGATTAATAATTTTATAATGACAACTATTTTGTGATATATTGTGATATATACTTAATAATATGAAAAAATATTATTCTTATTTTTTCCGAAACTAATAACGAAAAATTAAGCTAATAAAAAATAAAAACAAAATCAATATAATTTAATGAAAGAATTTTCAAAATACTAATTTTTACGCCTAAGTATAAACAATATTATTCTATTTAAAAAATAAATATAATAGTATCATTTCTAGAAAATTGGTTTCTAATTTTATTATTTTTATAGAAAATGTTAGAAGTGGTAATTAACATTGTTATGTTTGTTCAAATAAATTTAGTCTTTTGGGATAACAGTTTTCATTCGCAGACAAAAAACTTAAAATTTCTAATGGAAATAAATCGTGTAATCGTATGTAATTGTCAGAGATTTAAAAAAATATTAAATTCACTCAATAAAATTTGATAGCATCTTACCATAATGTTTCGTCTCATTAATAAAATAGACATAAACATCGACACCAGTTTCTATTTTTAGACACTTGTTTATGAATGGATTGATATTTGGAATTAACCAACTGAACATTTTCGTCGCATCGCAATATTTGGTGTAATGGATATATGCAATATGTTATTCTAAGATTTTCAAAAAATCTCTTGAAGAAATTCTAATAATTTTTTAAAATGTTGTTATTGTTTGTATCTTTAAACCGCGTATAAGTGCAGAGAAGACTAGATAGCACTACAATAAACTTTGAAATTATTAACGGAAGGAGAAAATATAAAATAAAATTAAATAACGTTCGTCTGGAATAACTAGCCAAAAAATTTACCGTAACCAATAAAGCGTGAACCAATGTAAACCTTGTCACAATAAAGATTTAGAAATTCATACATTCCTAATTTTAACAATTGCTTTATTGTATTATTGAAAATATATATATCGAACGTTTCACTGTTTTTCATGAAACATTCCATTACATTTTACGCACCTATACACAATTCATAAACTCCATTTTCAATAACTATTTAAATATAAAATTTGTATTAACATAGTGACGTAGTTCAATCGATGAAGTCCTCTACACATAGTTATATTAACTAAAAAGCTAGAAGTTATTTAATAATATAGCATATAAGTAATTAAATTTACTTTTTACTGCAATGGTTCGACTATACTATCTTCTAATATTTTAGATTCAAATGGTAAATTTTTAAGTTAGAAACATCTGAAATATCTTGACACTTAAAAGTTACGAAAATAATAGGCACAATTTGTTACATAAATTAGAATGCCGATATACTTTTTAGACAGACCAATGTGGACTAATTTTATTAATATACGGTACACAATAAATAAGAAAGTAAATTTAAATCAAAAACTCAATACGAAATGAAAATTATGTTTTCAATTAATTAACTTGTATTTAAATCGGGAATTTATCGCATATTAAGTCATTAATTCCTCGAAAATGCTGAGAAATAGTTTAACTTTCTCTATTTGTATTACTGAAGTAAATAACTAAAAGATAATTAACGTTTTGCCGTGTCTACAATACTGGAAATACTCTCCGATACGGTCGTGGTTTTTAAACCTGAGTAATCATTGAATGACAACGTTATATAACTATAAAAAAATAACTCTTAAAACTATCATGTAACAACAAATCGCGCCTAAAAAAACAAAGTAAAATTGACTTAAAAGAGCCCATATAATAATTCCATATAACATTCCGTCAAATAATACAAAATAATGGGAAATTTTTTGAAAAATATCAATTAGTTCTAAATTAATTATGAATAAATAATTCTCTAAAAATTTGGACCTTCTAACTCTACTTCTTCTTACTAAAAAATTAAAATTATACTTAAAATATTAATATACAGTAGTGATCAAAATTATAAGACACCCCCAAATTTTATATTTCACACGTTTAGATTTCGAGCTTGTACGCAATTGTAAACGTTTAAATTATCAAGTAAATGCATGAAACTTTTATATTTATACAATGTGTTCGTAAACTTAAAAGATAACCGCTTATTTTGCATTAATTCCATTTGTAACTTAATTTTTACTTACATTTTCGTTGAAAATGTTATTTTTGCAAATACAGCAAATTTCAGTCAACAAATCATTTTAAAGGCTTTCTAAAAAAAAAAAATACTAACATCCAACTGAGTACATTTTTTTCTACGTGTTATTTAGACAATTAAATTTGAAGAAAAAATTTTCAAGTCGATCCAGTAAAAATATTCAAATCACAGTCAAATAATTAGAATTTTTAAGCACCGTAAAATTAGCAATTTTTGGTTTTTTTGGTAATTTACTATCAAATAAGTTAATATGCTAGGTAAAATTCACACGAAAACGCATGTTTTATATTATTTCAACTAATTTATTTAGAAACAAATTATAGATATTTAAAAACTAACAAAATACAATAAAACATATTTTTTTATAAATTTACAATATTGGTAATTATTGAAAACCTTTTGTTTGTAATAATTAATTTAAAAAAATTCATTTTAATGCGTTTATTGTTTAACTCATTTATTTTATTAAATAATACGCGAACATAAGCGAGTGACCTTGTATTTTTTTCGGCATTAAAATGTAAAACAATTTGAAATTCGAGAAAAATTCGACCACTATGCTATATTATAAGTAATAAATACTAAAACTTTATCAAGGAATAACTATTCTATGCAATTGTATCCATTTGCCCGTTCCCCAGACTTCAACATAATAGAAAATGCTTGGGATCAAATTGAGAGAATTTCTTAAAATTTTTGAGGAGCTAAGCCCCCTATTTGTGTATTAAAAAAACCACAATAATGGCTAGATTTTTAATTGAAATATTTCATACTGCATTTATTATACTTTTGATTTTTAAAATATTCAGAACATATATGAAGAATAAAAAATGAAAAACATCTTCTAAAAGATAAAATTGATTAAAATCACACAAATTTTTCAGATTAAAAAAAAAAAATTCTTATAATAAAACTGCTTATATTTCCTTTCTTAGAGAATAATAAAGTCGCTTCCAATTAATATTAAATTAAATTACATTGAATTTAAAAAAAGTAAAAAATGTTAACAATGAAGTATTTACCTAACAATCAATAAGTTATTACTTACCACAAGCATCTTTTAACAACTCGCAACAATTTGTAAGACCTGCATTATTAGCAATATCAAAAGCTGTCAGTCCATTTTCATCTTTTAACAGCACATTTGATTTATAATGTAAAAGAGTTTTAATATTTTTTGGACATCCAATTTGTGCACTAAGATGTAAAGCTGTCTAAATAAACAAACAATACTTATTATATTTTAGGTATATTGTAAACTATTATCTTTATAAAATCTTTGGTAATATTACCAAACTTAGTCTAACTAGTAAACTAGTTAAGCTAAGTTGACATTGGCTAGTGTACACTTGAAAACTATTAAAATGTTACACTATTGCGCTTGTACCAAAAATGATTCTATTTTATTATTACTTCATTTTACAATATGAGGTGCCCTAACAATGTATTTTGGGGGCATTTCTCAGGTCAATCTGCCTGAAATCAATAGCTAAATTAAGAAAATTACACTAAAATTTTTTAGTGGAAATATAGTTTCAAGTCAATTTGATAACTTTTTTATGTGCTCTTAAAACTTATCATCATCATCATCTCCTTGCCTCTATCCCAGCTGTTTGGGGTTAGTTCTACCTTACAATGATTTGGTAGGATTTTTACACCAGCTGTCGACTTAATGCAACCTCATAATGGTTGAGCCCAGTAAAAGACAAGGTCTATGTTACTATTAAAATTCTTGTATGATCAGCCATACGACAGCAAAAAGCATAGTTAAACATCAGTGCATAGCGGTGACTAAATAATGCACAACACCACATAACATCCTTGCTCTTAAAACTACTAAAAATTCCAAAATCACTATTCATTTCAATGAGAGAGGTAGAACAAAAAGAATTTCAACTATCCTATTCAATCAGACATTTTTTGAAAATACATCTCATTATTTAAAAATTATTTAATAAGTTTTTTAAGAATAAAAATGTATGGATAAATTAGCCAAAAAGTTGGCCAGTTACTGACAGCCTAAGTTTAACATTTATGTACAATTACCCCTCTCAAATATTGTATTTAATATTATAATTTAAATAGTAAAACATACTCTTGAGTCACCACGAGGTCCACATGGAGTATTAACCAAAGCTAAAATAAAAAATAATTGTTATTTTAATATTTAATAATGGTGTAAATAAACTCATGCATATTATTACATATATAACAACTACCTCCAGCATCAAGAAGAATTTTTAAACAGCCAGATCCTTTATTAGTACATGCAGCATGAAGTACAGTACGACCCCAAGAATCACAACTGTTAATGAATTGTTTGTGTTCATCATCTTTCAGAAGATCTTTAAGAAAGTCTACATTATCCCATAAGGCCACCTACAAAATAAACAAGAAACTAATTCTCAATACAATCCTATTTTTTAAATAAATATTCATTAATTACTTGATGTAAAAGACGGCCTGGAAATTCTTCATCTTCTTCCATAATAATTTTAACTCCTGTAGATTACAGTGTAATATAAAATGCAAAAAAAAAATTTTCTTCTTCAGCATTTCACTGTAGTCACAAAATTAAAATAATAAATAAAATAGTCAAATGGAATCATGCTGCTAAATACACATGTAGCAGCACCTGAACTAACAATTTATGACATATGTAAAATGGTAGTTTAGAATTTAAATTAATAATATTTCAATAATAACAGATCATCAATATGTTATGTTATTTCAAAATATAATTTTTGACTATTATCTAGTTAAAAAAAAGTATAGATAAAATTTATCATCTACGGTCACTAATCAAAGTCACACACGGAGTGGATAACTTTTGTTCCAATGAACATTTGTCCTAATATGTTAGTACAAATGTAAATTGGAACATAAGACCTTTGGAAAATTTGACTCAGGAACAAGATAAATGAATTTAATTTATATGGAACAAATATTAAATTGAACATAACAGTAACGGAAAAAAATCTAAAATTAAATATGACATAATTTTTTGAGAAAATTTTTTTCAGAAGAAAAAATATACGTTATGTAGGTGGTCCACGTTTTGAAAAATCTAATAATTATTGATCCAGCAAATTATTTAATTAAATTTTTTTTAAAATAATTTTTACAGTTTTCGACATTTTAAAAGTAAAAACGTGTGAAAAAGTGTGTAGCAATTAGTAAAAAAAATTTAATGGGCAGACATTTGGAAATATTTCAATTTTTTATAGGTTGACTAGCGTAAAATTTTATAAGGCTAGAAATATTTAGGTTTGGTGAGCAGAGGGCTTACATATAAAAACCACACATGAAATCCTCAGTTAATGAATTTAAGGTCCTTTAAAGTAGTGATAGGCATTTTCGAGTATTTTTAGCTATGGAATATCAATATGAATATTTTCTATGCGACCAAATAGTTTTACTATAAAATATCAAACTTTTAAAACAATTCGTATAAATTCAATAACTATTAAATAGTTCAATATTTTTAATATTTAAATTATAATTTAATATTTTTATTCGCCCTTCTTTCAAAAAAAAATTCGTATGATTATAGAACCTAAATGACAAAAATAGTTTCAATAAACATTTATTCAAATCATACTTTTTTCCCGTGTACATTTGTTCCAAAACGTGGAAAAATTAATAGAAAGATTGTTAATCGGAACAAATGTTCATTGGAACAAGTAATAATTTTATTTAAATTATTATCCAGTATTATTAACCTAGAACGAGAAATTTTTAAAGAACAAAAGACAGTGATTTGTTACCACAGATATCATTATTTATCATAATGTTACTCTATGTTATCTATCTGTGTTGTTACTGAATTTATTATCAATTTGGGTAACATTTTAGTACTCAACTCCATCTATATTCTAATTAAATAATCTGCGTGCCCTTGATAGGTGATCTCTAATGATTTTGATAAACAAGACTAAGATTTTCGGCGTGTGATTAGCCACAAGTATCTGCTTTAAATTTAGCATTTACATTTTTATTGTATATACGAATATTAATTTTTTTGATTATTTAATATTGCATCTACCGCATAGGTTTTAAAACATCTAAATGATGAAGGGAACGTCAATTCTGAAAAAATCAAATATGAAGGTATATTTAAACAATAATATATAATCTTAACCCTCAGAAGGTCATACATATATAATATTAAAATATAGTTCTATAAAATATTTTTTTTCATTTGAAAGTTAAATTTACAGTATGAATTATTATACTGTTTATTTTAGTTTGATTATAGCTAAAAGGAAATTAATTATAGTTACTGTAAAATTAATTTTACTGAGAAACAGGTTTAATTTATAAAAATGCCTTTTAGTATAATCTGTATTTTAAATTTGTGAAAAAATGCTGATCTCTTGGTATACATTTGTTACAAAATATAGAATTTTAAAAACTATACTTGATGAGATATCAAGTACAATACTTGCACTTTTACACTACTAAATACCCTTAAAATTACATTAAAAAGTTATATAATCATTCTAAAAAATTTAATAATAAATTCATATTCACCTGTAACAAATTTATAGTATATTTATATAACAACATTGAACCCCTATTCATAATAGTTTACCTGGTTCCTTATTAAACATTCTATATATTGCATGATTAAAAATCATACTAAAGCATTTTATATATAATTATTTAGACTGCAATAGTGCTACCCCAGTTGTTCTAAGTTTTCAAGATAATCAAAATACAAATTTGAATTATATACGTTTTAATACAATAGGTGTTTTTATTTTCATAACTATCAATAAAACTATGAATCTCACTATAAATATGTAAAAAAATAATGTCCAGAAAAACTTCTTCAATCATTATTAATAAAAATTTTATTTAATTAAATTTTGAGATATATACTGTTGCAATATAAGCAACAAATTTCTCCCTCGCTTTTATAACAATTACTTGAGGTCGGCTGTGAATAAAACATCTTATTTAGCAACTTAGATATAATTTAAAAAAATTATATCTTCATCTATTAATTCTATTGATATCATGAATTTTTTTTTAAATATTCTACATTTAATAAGGTAATTAAAATTACTTTAATTTTTTTAGTCAATGTAAAGTATAATTTTTACAATCCTTTCGCCTAGAGAACTCTTATTTTTTAATGTTAATTTTTATTTTTATATTAATTCTTTTATCATGATTATAATTTTTAGAAAATTGTTTCTCAACTAGAAAGCCGTTTATTCTCAAGTGCTTCTGAAGTTTCATTTGAAACTAAGGTAAATATTTTTTATAAAAATATTTATGTTGAGTTGATATTTCAATATATTATATTATAATGAATATTTTAGCCATTTAAACTACATAAATTAGAAAGTGGACCTAGTACTACTGCTACCATAAGTGCAGAGGATGCTTTAAAGTACTATAAACAAATGCAAACTATTCGTCGTATTGAAACTGCTGCTGGTAATTTATATAAAGAAAAAATTGTTAGAGGTTTTTGTCATTTATACTCTGGACAGGTAAATTAATAATTATTTTATTTATTAGCTCTACTAATATATTTTATAAAAACTTATGTATTTTTTTTTTTTTAGGAAGCCTGTGCAGTTGGAATGAAAGCTATGTTTCGAGAACAAGATTCCATAATTACAGCATATAGAGCTCATGGTTGGACTTATTTAATGGGCGTTAATCCATTTGGTGTTTTAGCTGAGTTGACTGGACGAAAAGGTGGTAATGCACGTGGAAAAGGAGGTTCAATGCATATGTACGCAAAGAATTTTTATGGTGGCAATGGTATTGTAGGTGCTCAGGTAAATAAAAATATAATTTAATGAAAAAAAAAATTAAGTTTAAAACAAGGGTAGTCATTGGCGATTCGTGGGTGCTGGTGGTGGTGGTATGACTTAATACCTATCACTAGCGGTATTATATTTTAAAGTCATACCACCACCACCAGCAAAACTGATCAAATTTAAAATTTAAATTAATTAAACACAATACACATTATTATTTTAAAGCTTAATACTTTATTCATAAAAATATTATAGTATATTATAGCATATGTATTAGTGATTATATAATTAAAAAATAACTAATTTATGGAGTTATTTTATGAATAAAATCCATCTGCCTGTTTTTTAATGATGAAAAATGTTCGATGACATTTTTATTGAATTCTATATCATCTGCAATCATTTCACTTTCAATACTAAGAATAGATAAAGCGTTTAGTCTGTCTTCTTCCATGGTAGTTTGCAAACAAGTTTTTATCCTTTTTAATGTTGAAAATCCGCGTTCAGCTTCCGATGAAGTCACTGGAATTACGACTAATAATTTAAGTAATTTAAGTACTTCTTTAAATAAATCGTTCATATTATTTGATATTATATAGTTAATTGTAGGAATAACTCCTTTTAATAAGCGAAAATCATCACGACTATAAATAACCTCAAGTTCAGTTCTTAAACGTTCTTTTGTAAAGAAAGGATAGCTAATAATAGTTTTTTGTAAATAATCAATTGGGAATTTGTTGTTAAATTTTGGGTAATATTCGTTTTGAAAAAGCAATGCTGTAGTTAGATGTTCATTAAAACTTAAACGACTTTTTGCTTGAGTAATTAAAATATCACACACTTCTAGAGCAATAATTTTTTTTGAAATATTTGGGTCTTCCCTAGTTTTTCTTTTATTTGAATGTACTGATTGGTTCAAAACTCTTGAACAAATTGATGACATATTATCACGAATTTTAATTATTTCATTTACAAATGAGTTTACTGAGTTGTTTACTTGAACGGAATCTGTTTTTCTAGCTTGAACAGAACTATATAAACAATCAACATGTGGCATAATTTTATGAAAAATATTTAACCAAAATATAAAATCATTATCTTCTAGAAGCCTTTTAATACCAGTGGCTTGACTAATTGTTTTGGCTTGTAAAGATGTTTCAATTATTTTATCCATACAAATTATTAAGTCTTCTCTGTGTTCAAAAATAGTATTAACAGTTCTTATATTAAAATTCCATTGAGTCTGTACTACTCTTGACAAATGAACACCAGCTACTTCATCTAACACTGATACCCTCTGTGGTGAATGAGTAAAAAACAGTGGTATTTCAGATAAATTTGAAAAAAATATACGAACTTGCTTATTTTTTGAAATTGATTGTATCATTATAAGATTCAATTGGTGAGCATAGCAGTGGATAAAAAAGGCGAATGGGTACTTTTCTTTTATCTTCACATTAACACCAGCTTTTTGGCCATTCATAACAATTGTACCATCATATGACTGAGCAATCAATTTATTAGGTGATTTTTCTAATAGAGGATCAATTAAACCTAAAATAGTTTGTGATAATGCTTCAGCATTATGACCATTTGGATTTTCAAAACCCCAAAAACGCTCAACAGGTTGACCTTGTACTTCATATCTTAGTATGAGAACCAACTGAAATATATTTGAAATATCTGTGGTTTCATCAACAATTATGGAAATAAATTCTGACTGTTGAATTTCATTTACTATTTTATTTCGACATACTGCTAGAATAGAGTCCAACAAATCATTTTGAATTGTTTTGGAAGTTCCTTTAAAAACAGTTGATTTTTCAAAATGATCACGTAAACTAGAATCTAAATCAGTACACAGGTCAAGAATTCCACGAAAAATACCCTGATTTTTTGAAGATATTTTTTCATCATGACCTCTTAATGGTATTTCGTATTTACCACAACATTTAATACAATTTAGAATCTTACCTAGAACATAGCGATTTTTATCTACTAATTCGTTATGACGTTGGATACTTGTTTTATAACCAATATCAATTTGATGTCTTTTATTAACTTTGCCTAGCAAATTCAAGTTTGTAGCATTGTGAATATGTTTGAATGAGTTTTCATGCTTAACAATTTTTGCATTTAGATGTTGCAAATCGGTGACTCCTATTTTAGTCCAAGCTGTTTCGCCACCAAAAAGTAAACAAGGAAAACAGAAAAGAGCTTGTTTTATTTCACATCCGCATAACCATTCATTTTTGTAATATAATGCTGGGTTAAAATTACGAAAATATTCATTTTTTCCTTTTTTATAACTAATTTTTAAATCTTTTAAAATCGGTAAAGGCCTGCCGTTATTTTTTATGCTTAATTTTTCTTCAAACGATAACGAAGAAAATTTAATATTTATTAAATTATCAACACAATTCGACATGTTGAACTAATTAAAATTATAAACAATATATTTTCTACAGCGGGTAGCAGTAGAAGAAAGAAATTAAAATAATAATAATAGCGATTATACTATTGTAACAATTGAAGCGACGAGCGTACACGCAGTTCATTAAAAAAATTTATTACCGAATATAGTAACATGTTAATGTTTTACCGTATGGACGACGCTCCCGGTCGTTCGAAACGCGTACATAATGTCACAACTGAACTGTACCCGCACGCACACGATTGTATCGCTTCGCTTTTATTTTACGTTTGAAAAAATTGCTCGGACGACGTTGCCGGTCATCCAAAACTCGTATACAAGATCACAGCTGAACCTTACTCGCACGCACACGATTGGGTGCCTCGTTTATAATTTATGTTTCAGAGTATTGCTCGGACGACGTTGCCGGTCATCCAAATCCGTGTATAATATCACAGCTGAACTGTACCCGCACGCACACGATTGCGGCCCCTCTAAAAATATACGTTTCAGAATATTGCTCCGACGACGCTGTCGGTCGTCCCAACACTGCCGCGTGTGCGTGCGTACCCACGCATACTGAAGGAAACAACTTAAATGTTTGCACACGACAAATCAAAACTATTTTACTATTTAAAAATATTCACTTTTCATAAAAAAATATTTTTAAAAAATGTAGAATTAAGAATATACAATTAATTTTCTTCTTTTGATTAATTTTAGTAGGGGGTGCTATCGTCCCGTCGTTCAAACCATGAGCCCCCAAATTTTATTCGGTGTCGGATTAAGACCTTTAAGAAAAGCGGTCCCTTTATGGAAAATAATGCTACCATAAGAAAAAATGATGATAAAAAGAAACCAGACATACAGTCACAAATCATGTCTAGGTTAGTTAAAGTCGAGATAACCCTTAAGCTCACGAACCTCATGACGTTCTCCTATTCCTTGACCCCTCTTAATCTGGGGCTGAATTTATTATGTGCGTATAGAATAAGAGGAATGGTGTGGCTGACTTAGTAACGCAGCAGTACTTGATACGAACTTTCTCTGGTTTGAGTCTTGGTCATGGAAAACTCCGTTTTCTGAGCAATAATCAGAGTCGTCATCTCTCTCTCTCTCTCTCTCTCTCATTGGTAACTAACCACACATCATGGAGGATCCACGGTTAAGAAATTTCCTCCTTGAAGAGGCCGCAGTAGCCTGTAAAAGTGAACAAAAATTGGGTGTTTGAGTAAAAAATGAATTAATCATGATATTTTATTTTAAATGACTACTCATAGAAACCAAATCTGGGGCTAAGTCAGTAATTATTCATTGCTTGAAGGACACAGTTTGTGATCTTAAACTTAGTTGTGGGCTGGTATTTTTCTTCGGAAAAAAAATTAACTTAGTGGTATAGTGAAAGGAATATACTATCCTCTTTTTAGTAATGAACTAATCTTCTACAATGCAGAATATAACATTTAAAAATCTTTATTTGAGGTCGATGGATTCATAACGTTTATTTAAAAGGATTTCCAAATGGTGAGGTTACTAGTCTTATATAGTAAGAATTTATAAAATATGTTCGATTATAATATTCTTTTTAAAATATACAAATGTGGTTAACTTTTTTTTAACAAATTTTAATTATGATTTTGTTTAGGTACCTTTAGGTGCCGGTATAGCGTTTGCTGCAAAATATTTGGGCACAGGAGGTGTTTGCTTTGCTTTGTATGGAGATGGAGCTTCTAACCAAGGACAAGTATTTGAAGCTTACAACATGGCTAAATTATGGAATCTTCCTTGTGTCTTTGTGTGTGAAAATAATGGTTATGGAATGGGAACTAGTGCAGATCGTTCATCAGCTAGTACTGAATATTACTCCCGTGGTGACTATGTTCCTGGTATCTGGGTAGATGGTATGGACGTGTTAGCTGTAAGAGAAGCTTCACGGTTTGCTATTGACTATTGTACTAGTGGCAAAGGACCATTAATACTAGAAACAGCAACTTATCGTTACTCAGGACACTCGATGTCTGACCCAGGAACATCTTATAGAACTAGAGATGAAATACAAGAAGTTCGACAAACAAGAGATCCAATCACGTCTTTCAAAACAAAAATTCTTGATTCTAATTTAGTTACAGCTGACCAATTAAAGGTAAAACTATATTATTATTATAAAGAAGTTAAATTTTTCAGTATCATTAATTTGAATTATATGGAGATCTACCTATATCAGTAATTGATAAATGTTTCAATTTTAAAAAGTCTGAAATATTAATTAGAAAACCTTAAATATGTTAATATATATTTTCTTATGCAGAATCTATATACAGAGTTATCAATTAAAGATAAGACATAAATATTCTTGTAAACTATTAAAAATTTTAAACTTTCGTACATTTTATTTTAAATAAAAATGTTTAAACAATTTTAACCCTTTAGCAGACGCGTGCCTATTTTTAACGTTCAAAGTCGCGGGGGGGTCTATCAGACCCCATTTTTTAAAAAGTATAAAATATGTATAAAAAAGTTCATTTTTTTTAATTCAAAGACATTATTTGTTACCATATGATATATAAATATGGATGAAAATTCAAAAATAAAAATTAAAAAATAAATTACAAAATTATGTGCATTACTAAAAATTATTTTACAAAAAAAAAAAAAAAAAAAACATAATTTTCAAAATTTTATTAAAAAATTTTGGTTTGTAAAAAAATTATTTTAACTGCAAAATCTTATTTTTAAGACGGTAAACAAAAGCTTTAACTATTACAAAAAGTATTTTAATTAATTTTTCTTGTATTTCTTTGAGCTCAAACACGGCTTATATTTATAAGTTTTATGTGTATTTACATTTATATAATCATTTTTCTGAATTGAATTTCTTTATTATTAATATTACAATACATTTTATTAATATGATAAGAGTATATACACTTATTCGTTCGTAGGAACACATCGATTACCGATAATAAATGTGTCCACATTGCGACGCGATGTATTTATTACATGTTTTGTTCTTATTTGTTCCGTATCATCGAGTAGTGGAAATTCTAAATAGATAATTTATTTTTAAAATTTAATTGCACAGTCGGTGGCAGATTCACGTAATTCCAATTCCACAATATTATATCGATTGTATTTATGATAAAACGATATTTTGAAAAAAATAAAAGTTCAAAAAAAAATTATAACGTTACAAGTCGCGTGGGGGTCAATACGACCCATTTCAATTTTGATGAATATTTTAAGTCATACATTTTTTTCGAAGGTATTTATTTATGAAAATCGATTCAATATTACTATAAAAACCATCTTCTAAATTTATATCTATGTACACTTTTTATGCAATATAATACATCCGTTTTTATTTATGTGGGGGTATGCTAGACCTCCATGCGACTGTTTAAGGGTTAAAACAATTGGTAAATCAGATAAAAAGATTATAATAACAAAATTGTTTTTAATTAGCATACAGTGGATGTTATTTATTCATTTTGTCATATAAACAAGTTTTATTGATACTTTTTGTTATATAATAATAATTTATGGCTTATTGATTTATGACAAATTATTGCTACCTCCTCTATTATGAATTTCAAATTAATGATGAATTCATATTTAAAATCTAAATCTTTAAACGATTTTAAAAAGTATAATAATAATTATAAGAACAAAATTGTATTGAAGTTTTTTTTTTATCACATTATTTAACAAAAAATGTGGGTTTCATTGGGAAAAAAATTAAAGTTTTTTATCTTTTATAAGGGTTAAAAAAAATTATTTTACTTTATACCATTTTAGAGTATATTGAATGAAAATATTTTCCTTTACAAAAATTTAAAATATCCTTAATTGATCACTTTGTGTAAATTTTAAATTTAAGACAATCCAAGTTAGTTAGTGTTACTCTTCTATACCAAATGATAATTATATCAAAAAATTTACTAAAAATCCTAATATTAGTTTCTAATAAGTTTATTTTGTTTTTAATTATATGGTTTTTTAGACTATTGATAATGAAGTTAAAGCTGAAATTGATGATGCAGTGAAGAAAGCCAAATCAGATACTGAAATACCATTAGCTGAGTTAGCAGGTGATGTATACTCAGCACCACTAGAGAAAACAATTAGAGGGGTGACTCCATTCAAACCTTTAGAACATATAACTGTAGGAAAAGCTGTTAATTTAAATTGAAATTATAAAAATAATAATATTGAATCTTAGCTTTTTTAATTTTAAGCTTTCTCATTCATCTTTAATTTCAAATTGAAATATTTTGTTCTAAGAAAATTTTGTGTGTTTACTGTTAAACTTTTGCATTCCTATTATGTGAAATATAGAAATTTTATTGTTAAAATGAATGATTTTTTGTGTTTTTTTTTTCAATAGTTGACTAATATTATTAATATGTATTTTTACATTAAAGTTTTATTTTAGAAATAAAATTTATTTTCCAGCAATAATACCATATTTTTATTGTTAAATGTTACGCTTACATTTTGACACAATTGTAAGTTTAGATCTCTTGTAGTTAGAAACTTAGTTACATTGATATTATCTGGTAATTTAGTCCACCTTACTAGAGCTAATTTAAGGTCTTAGTCCTTTAATATTTTGGATACTTCTACAATGCATTTGGAGATATTCAGTTCTAATATTAAACGATACAATAATATTGGTAAAGGAATTAAGTTGTAAATTAAATAAGAAATAAACGTTTTCGACGATCTCCGAGAGCGGACTGCACGTAGTAATCGTGATGATCCTCCGTTGTCGAATGGCAATTTCTTATGGAATCGAGGTTTAACACGCGATCTGAAAAGTAAACAATATAAATGAAAATAAAATCCAAGATAACAACTAACGAAAAGCTTACGGTACCATTTTGGAGGAACGGCAACGAACAGTAAGGGAGAGCAAGCATTGGCTAAAAAAAAACCAGCAGCACAGAACTATCAATACGTCATGAGTACAACAACAGAAGTGAAAATTTTGTAGCTTTACCAAAGACCGTGCACAATCTAAAATTTACAAATCACATTAATCAATACAGTCACTACCATAATGGGAACATAAAAAAAAAAAAAAGATTTAAATATTTCATTGTCGCATGACTATCCATTATATTATTTAATAAATAAACATGTCATTGATGTTATACATTCATCATTAAAGATATACATATAAACTAAAATTGCTGTTTATATAATAAAATGAACTCCATTACACACAATTCTATAAATAATCCCATAACTGAATATAAATAAATATACACATACAAAAAAATCAAAAACATTTGGATCTTATCGGCCGATGCAGTACATATTACATTGTAATCAACAATAAATAAAATACCGACCGGCTTAATAATTAAAGCAAGCAAAGTATTTAAATTTATTTCAAATAAAATTAGCCAAAATCAGTTACCCGTGTAATACAACCGTTATGTATTAGAGCTAGCACTCTTCAGGTCGGATGGCCGCTAATCAATCACAGTCAACTGGGCAAAACAGAGGCACAACTGAAAATTACAAAATATTTTTTACAACTTATTTTATAAATATATGCATATTTTTTCAAATATTAACCATTTTTTTCTAAAAATACTTCATTAATTAATTCTATAAACAATTTTCATCCGTTGAACTTTACTTCAAAATTCGATTAAAGATAACTGCACATATATATTGTTTTATGTAAAACTAAAGGGTCTCACCTTCCCTTGTGTTTCAATTAATTGATCGCATAAGCCTGGAATTTTTATGAGAAAGTAATTACTTCAGTAAATTCACACTTTTCTCAAAATTAACGTATTGTAACAAAATTTGGAAACGTAATCATTATATAAAGGAACCACAATTGTTTTTTCTACTAAAAATGAAACAAATTGTAACTATAATTTTTTTTTTTTTCATATTAGCATACCATCTGGAATCTATAAACTAATTTTCATCATTAATAATGGAAATATTATTGCAGTATTTTTTAAAATTAAAATATGATCAAAATCAGTTAGTAACTAAATCAAATTATTGTACAAATTAAAATTAAAGATTTAATATTGTTACAGTGACATAGTCAGGGAAGGGGTGAAAAGCTGCAGCTTCCCTCAAAATTACAGTGACTACTGAATTATTTACTAAATATTATACTTGGAACTATTTGAACTAAGAAAAAAGTTTATTATGAAATAATAAAACTAATCTCTTTAATTCTCTACTCTCTCGTAAAGATTGTAGCTATGCTACTGATTAATATTAAGTTTGTTTTTACGTGTAAAAGTTCAATTCATTTTAATACACTTCAAAAGAGCTATTTATATTATTTTAAAATAACTTGGGAATAATGTGCTGGTTGATTTTTTAACATAGAAAATTTTGTTTATCTTTTTCCATGTAAACGTGTTTGTCTAATTATGTGAATTTATAAACACAAAAATAATTTTGTCATCAGTTAGTTCTGGAATCGTTAGGGTGTAATCAAGTGTGAAATTATTTTTCAACGTCTTGCTCCATTTTATAAAAATTCTCTTTAAAAACTTTTCAAGCGGATCATCAAGTATTAGAACAAGACACTATGAATATTTCAACTCCTATGTATGAAACGCAAAGTTTCCTCAAGTGTCTTGAAAGTAAGTAGATAATTTTTTATGCAATAGTTAAACGAATACTATTTGTTTTAAATTGCTAATAATGTAACAATTTTATCGTATATTATAATTTTAGATACTGCTATGCCTGCAATGAAGGCTTCCAAAAGCTGGAAACACACCATTGTTAATTGGATAAAGCCACTGACGTTTCAGCAAAAGGTAAGTTTCAAAATTATATATTATCCAACGATTGATTGAATTAATTTTTTCAGCTCGAGTTGCACAAATCTATTTATCCTATGATGAAATGGTTAAATATGATGGATCAAATTATTTCGTCTCTCGGATCAGAATTGATCCGAGTTGATAAAACTACCGCACGGGCCAGACTAATATGTTTGCGCCATTTCATGCAGAAAATCAAAACTAAACAGCATGAAAAGGATTGGATTGTTAAAACGTCTAAAAAAGTTATTAAAAAGTTGGATTATATAGATTCAATAATTATGGTTCATAAATGGGCCACAGACATTCAAATTAAGTGGATTCAAATTTGTTCAGTGGCAATGAATGTAACTATTTTTCAGTATTTGACTTACAATATTTTAATTTATATCAATTATTTAAGTTGTAAAATGTGCATAATTTTTAAAATAAAAAAATTATTTTTAGCTCGAAAAGATACTTTTAAAAATTTTGACGGATGATGGAAACTGTTGAATGAAGTTTCAGCCGATCATTCAAAAACAGCGGCTCATTCTATTGTGGTGGTTTTTATATTTTTTCTAATTTGTGCCTTCAAAACCTTCAATTTTAAATTATTATCTCAACAAATTATTAAAATTACTTTATACGTGTTATTTAAAATTTTCTGTCAATCACCAAGACTTTGTAGCTGAACTTACGGTGATATGATTATTTTTCATCATTTGATGTGTAATGCTAACAAGTTCTGAACTTTTTATTTATATATTTCTATAATTAATAACTTCCTTTATTTTATGTATTATAAACACACTCTGTGTAATTATTAAATTTTTATAATTTTTTACTATATTATCATTAAATAAATTTTTTATGAAGTATCTTGTTATGTTTTTATTAAAAATAAATATTATTTAATAATTGTTCTACTTCATAAAGTACGTCCCATTCAAAGTAATAATTTAAATAATCTTTCTAATACTATGATGCAATTCATTTATATTTAATTTTTGATTACTGTAATCTTGAATTTAATTTCATAAATTTTAATAATTTAGACTGAACTAAGAAATTGATTTTTAGTGATGAATGTTTTACATTCGTTAAAGTAGTAAATACGAATAATCGCTTATTATAAGAAGAGCTTTATAGAAAATTACAATACCTACAATATTATATATAATAATATATTTCGTAAAACTAAGTCTGTAGCCTAAAAATGTAAAGCATTGAAATTTTTATGTAAATAGTGGCCACCCTATAATATATACATAATTTAATTCAAATTAGAATTATAATATCTTTGTTAATTATTATATTTATTTTTATTATTATTGTTTTTATATTAAGATAACATGATGAGTTATTCGTAAAAAAAAACTATTTTCTTTTAAAAAAATTCAATCTCATAAAATTTAAGAATTTGTTTTTATACAAAACATTAAAATCCTATACTGAACTAAGTATGAAAACATATTATTATTAAATTATAAAACAAAATATTTAAGAATAATTTGCTTGGAAATCTGGAAAATATTGTTACAAGTTGGTTCTCATCTTGATCTTTCATTTCATATAGTTTTATTTCATAAACACCTACTGAAACACTGATTAGTAGTTAATACATGAATTATGACAAATAATCATTGTAAATAATAATATAAAAATTTTGCAATAGATTAAATTGATACCTAATTAATTGTGCCCCAAGACTATTGTACCTTTTTGTTTCATAAATATGTTCTTTAAAATGCTTTGTGATTTCAAATATTTTTCAATAGTAATTAATACAGCTGTTTTATATATGCACTATGATTTTTACAGATATATTAAAAAAAAACCCAGCACAGGGAAGTCGTGGCACAGTAGTGACATGGCATAGTTGGATCAAGTATAATGATATCTGACAGTGATTAAGATTACTATAAAAAAAACGCTTCGATGCTAATCTATAGAAAGTGTTTAATTTTAAAAAATTGTTGGAGTATTCCAAAAGTTACATGATCTGCTAGTTCCTTATTAATATCCTGATTAAGATAAAGTTTGTTGAATGATAAAGGGATTTAAATATTATTTCTCATAAAAAAATTGTGTTGATCCATACACTTTTCAATAAATTGTAGCATTATAAAGTTAAAAATGTAAAAAACAAAATAGAGAATTTTCACACAAAAATAGCATTCGATAGCCATTTTCCCGTGAAGACAAAATAAAGTCCGAAATTTTTTTTTTTCCATAATAAAATACATTACATTAGCTTTAATTTGAGATATATGTAAAAGTGTCAGTTATTACGAAACACTTTAAAAACTTAAGAAGAAAAAGTTTATTTTTTGTGAAAAAGTTGTCATTTTGAATCCCCCCTATAAGCAGGTAAAAGGTCAGATTCATAAAAAATACACCAAATGACAGTTAAAGATATCATGCATCTATATAAAAAGCGACGATATCAACTTTGGCAATAATCTATTTAAATCAAAGAGAAACAAGAAAAATATTACAGTTATTTTTATTTATTTATTTTTTTTAGAGTACTTGTCAAAGCCGTCTTTGAGAGAAAGGGAGTTACCTTTAGCTTCTGGAGAGTTTCAATCTCAAGATAACAATCTCCAGCGGAGACAACATTTTTGTTTATTATAACTTAGTTAAATTTTATGTCATATAGGGAAATCCTCCAAAAAATTACAAATTTAAAAATCGTTAAATTTCGACATTTTTTCATTTTTTTTTATTTAAAACTGCCATACCTTTTTTAAAATTGTCCAAATTATATTAATTTTTTTTTATAGATACCTTAGGTATTTACCTATCTTTTGATATATTTTTTTATAACTCGACCTTTTACATGCCTATAAGGAGGGATTCAAAATGACAACTTTTTCACAAAAAATTAACAATCAAATCTGTAGATAGTGTTTAATTTTAAGAAATTGATAGATTATTTCAAAAACAACAATAACCCATATTCCCTTAATTTTATCCCGATTAGTAATTTGATTTATAATTATTATATATGAATAAATAATAATTTTAGTAATTAAATTTAGTATGCAATTGCTATTCAATAATTTAATATTGTAATTTTTACGGAGATATTATTAAAATGATAAAGTAGTTGTATATTTCTTTACTTTTATGCGTATAAAAATTTAAAGGGCTTGACGTAATATTTTTTAATAAAAAATGTTTGTTACTTATAATAAAGTTATAAGTTTTATACACTAGACTACAAGGAACTTTCATCAGAATCTTAAAATTATTTTACTATATTTAAGGTTTTAGCTTCGATTCAAAGCTGAGAAGATATTTTTTTATTTTCTCTGCTCTAACTTGACCTACTTTTTTCAACGATACGTCAAATGATTACAATTAGTTGAAGATATTATCCTCAAAAANGACCTACTTTTTTCAACGATACGTCAAATGATTACAATTAGTTGAAGATATTATCCTCAAAAATTGAAAAAACTTGTCCCTTGTTCTCCATACAGACAATTAAAATCATTCATTTATAATGTTTTCAAAGTATTTATTGACGAATCAAGTTTAATATGATAGATTTCAACTACAAAATTAAATCATTTTATTTTGTAATTTCATAATATATTTACTCTATTTGTGTGTTCTACTACTAGATTTTATGTCATATTAATTATAATGATCAGAAACTTGAAATCAATAAATATAGTATTGACAATCTATTTAAAAGTTAATGTCCAAAATTGTTAAGTAATTATTCATTTACAATAGATAGATGTTGA